CTTTCTGATTCCAAAACAAATAATTAAATTTGGCGTTAGCTTGGGTAATCGGTATGTTGTCGAAAGAAATCAGCCTTATTTCATTCTTTTCTCAAGAATGCTACTTCATGTTTTTAAGTAAAGTGGAATCCAGTAGAAATGCATCTCATCATATTTAGAACTTGTCAGTTGGATGTATCATCCAAATCCCGATGTGAAAAGTCACACCGGGACTCAGACTCAGTATTTTTCGCTTTAAACACTTAACGTGTTACAGAGGTTCATTCAGCCAGTTATCAACTTCTGTAACAGGGATGAAGTTATTTGTATGATGGTTTGAATTCTCCCTTTTGATATTAAGGACAGTAATTGATCAATCTCATTTTGACGAAAGTGCTTACAGAGAAGGTTGCCTCATTATTACTATTAGATAAATACGTTTTAGGTAAAGCCTAATACAATCGCTTCTCAGGTTTTTAACAATGTCAGTAAAACCACACCAAAACAACTTTGACATACTAACGTGACAGTAAACATATTATAAGATTTATCGATCAGTTGGTGATTTCCGATCAAAAAAGTTTTGACTATCGATTTTTTATTACTGTTCTATAAATTGTTTCCTGGACAATTACTCTCCATCAAAAGAAAAATTATACCTGGGAAAACTAACTAGCTATCATGAAATGCCACTTAATACTTGTAGACTAATTTAGGTTAAGCATTAAAATCGTTGGATGCCCACTCAGTAGACTAGAGGTTAAGAGTTCGTCCGTGAGGCTGAAGGTCTTGAGTGTGGGGTCGTGGATACACGTTGTTGAGGCGTCCCAATACAAGGACAAAACCGCCTTCGAGTTGTCGAAACATACATATCATAGCTACTCTAGTATTTAATCATCGAATTAAAATGCGTTAGTGAATAAAGGAATTAAATTAGTTAAATACGAGAATGGATTTCAAATACATTTATTTCATACAATCGTCGGTCCAGAAAAAAGATCGGAGAAGCGATTAGAAGAGAGCAAAGCGAAATGATGCGCAGTAGAGAAGGCGTGTGAGCCAACTCCATTTACTCAAGCGTTAATCGATATTTTTAGTCCGATAAAAATAAGTTAAAGACACATGGTGAATAGGATAAGAAGTGAGCACGCATCTGCTCACACAAAAACAGTTAAGGTTGATAAGCGGATAATTAACAAGGTCGAATTGTGACTTAAGAAGAATGAATAGACCAGCCTGTCCAGAAGCTAGAATAAGCTATGTGGGTTTGCATACCACGACAGAGTGACTATCTACGATGTGTAACTTCCTCTGGTCCGACATGGTTAAACTCTTACTGTCACAGATTTTCACTAAAACTATTTAACACTTTTCCTCTAAATTCTTATTGATTATTACCTTGAAGACCATTAAAAGAAAGAGAAAGTATATAGTTCTTCAGAAATTCATAAAAATAATACACCTACGATAGTTTGTTTTGCAAGAAAAAATATAATGAGATAATTATAATATATAGTTAAATAATATAAGAAGTAGAATTCTTTCAATTTGATTAACAGAAAGAATTTCATGAGCAGTTATATTAATCAGTGATAGTAGTAGAGTAAGGAGAAAGAATGAAGTTGCAGAATAAAAATTGTAATTATTTTAATAGAAAGAGTGAATGCATCTGTTTTATTGTAACTGACTTTTAGAAATGCCTCATAGCCATTGGTGGTGATTATCTTGAAGACTTCAATCATAAATAGTTTGTATAAACTAACATAACTCAGTCTAACAGAAAATAACTTCATGGATTGATGTCATATTTTAGTTGGACCGCCTCTAGAATTTTCCCAACTTAGGTACAATCAAGAAATATCAAACGTCAGGATGGGCGGTGTTTGGGTATGTGTGATAAATGTCCCAGACACCAAAGTCGATATAGATTCCCAATCTTATTAAACGATTTGGCATATTTACTAAATACTTCGTGTCTAACTTCAATATTTATAAGTCAATGGTGCCAGAATAATCGAACAATGCTTGGAAGACATCTATGATTAAATACCGGTAAACTTAAGAATATACTTCATTTTTTAAAGATCATATTTATGAACTTACAAGAGAATGGTAAATGTTTACAGAAGATTATCTGACCGACTTCTTATTAAATTCATTTTAATTAATTGTTTAATGAAACCTATTTTATGATAAACAAAGATAGGTGGTGACTAACAGTGGAATCCAGGACGCACGTTTCGTCCTATTTGCGACTCGCTGGCTGGGTGTACCTGCATCCTAGAGTTAATATCCACTCCAGTACTCGAGCCCAGAATCGTTCGCTTCAAACGCCACCGCGTTATCTACTTAGCTACTGAGTCCTGACAGACACTAGCTTTTGAAATCGAGTAAAGTTTAAATTCATTTTGTATGGTTTGTTTGAATCTTAACATTGATTTTTAGGACGGCAAATGATCGAGGCAATCCGTAAAGAATACACATATGCCATTAAGAAACTGATCAATCTCAGCCCTAAACATCAATGAGAAGATTCAAACAAACAATACAAAATGAACTATTTTATGATGATGTTAAAGTTTATGAAATTATTATTATTATTACTATTATTAATGGCTTTATTCAATATTATCTTTTTGGTACAATATAGAATTCTCAGCACAGGGTATTTCAACAAGTTACTTACTGAACAACGAACAAAAAGGCAGTAGCAAATACAAAAAGAAATAAAAAAAGGTTTTTAAAAAAAATAAAATAAAAAAAACTGTACAAACTTTTTAAAATTAAAGACATGTTAAGAATGTAAGTTATTGACTAGGTTAATTCTAACAACCTGTTCGTCACAGAGTATATTTGCTAGGTAAGGTATTATAGAACATTTATACTTTTCCTTGCGTGCGTGGATTTTAATGTAATTACGTCTCGTTCTACCAGAAGATATACAAGGAGAAAGATAAGAGTGAAGGGGATGGCTAGTATCTGATAAAATGACACCTGCCAGGAGTTTGCATGATTTTAAATGTCTATCCACAACCATATTAATTATGACCTCGAAAGATTCACCACACACCTTGCTAACTGCCTTAAGCACTCTTCGCAATACAGCAAAGTCTTTTCTCAAAAGCCAGGGAAAGAATAATGGAGAACAGTAAAGAATAATAGGTAATATGCAAGAATTGACAAATTGTAAGAGTAAATGACGAGTAATTCCAAGAGCATGCAATCTCTTTATGTAGTAAGTCAGACGGAAAATCTTCTTCGATAACGATAAAACGTGGGAAGACCAAGACAGATCAGAGGAAAAGGTGACACCAAGATAATTAACCTTCGACACTGAGTTTGTCAAAGAGTCTCCGATGGTACAAGCACTATGGGATCTCAAAATGGTGTTTAGATTCCGTTCATGTCTCATGCTAAAGTTAAAAGCTTGACATTTAGACGGATTAGGTATGAGACCATTACCAACAGACCAACAATCAATGTGAGACAAAAACTCATTCATTTCTATGGGATGTAAAGAGGAAGATATAGGCATACATACAGTGAAATCATCCGCATACTTCACAAAAGTGTTTTCTGTGGAAGATGGCAGGTCATGCAGAAAAAAGGAGAATAGAAGAGGTGAAAGAACAGCTCCTTGTGGTACACCTTCATGAGACAGTAGAGACTCTGAACTCTTTCCTCCAAACACAGTGTACTGTTCCCTTCCAGAGAGGTAGGAACATAGACAGTTGGTTATCCGGCTGTCAGTGTTGACGCAGATTAACTTGTTAAGTAAACGTTGTCTTGTTATAGAGTCAAAAGCTGAAGTATAGTCCATAACGAAAAATCTGATTTAATGGAGTATTTATGAAGCTTTAACTGGTCCAATTTCAGCAGAGTAACATAAACACAAAATGTATAGATTGCACTTACTGACATTTTAGTCACTCTTAAAATACTACTAGTAGTACTGCTATAAGATAGTTGTTATTTAATAATTATATACTGTTTGCTGAACTATCTTACATTTATGCTTTGATTGTATTTAAAATATGACTTTTTTATTTCGCGTGCTGTGTGGTCAGACATTTCAAGTACATTACTAAATTAAGTCGGAGTCATAATTGAAAATGAATAAAATATACACAGTTAATCCGTTTACTGTCTTTGTTTACCAATTAGCCACTGAATTAAGAGGAGCTCAAGGACCGATCTCACATGTGGGTTTGTGGATGTGCAGTGGTGAGGAGTCCCATACTAGGATGTAACGGCCATCCAGTGCTTTCAGGTTCTCAATGGTGGTCTAACATTGGTCGATTCATAATCTCAATCAAAACACTAAGGTTTTGGGTGTTGTTTCCCTGATCAGTGTATTAATTGGTTGTTGAGGACGTTATATACCCAGAACTCACTTGGAAAAGGTCCTAATAGTTTAATTTTGTTCTGAAAATTTGAACTTTATGTTTTCGTGCCAAGAGACGCTTAGTTGACCTACAGCCTACATTTCCCACTCGGAAATCCTTGACTATCATTGGTTGACGGATTTTTTTTAGTATGCTGTTTTGTGGCTCTCCTAAGGGCGTTTCTATCACTGTCTAAATAACCTTAATTTGTGTGCTTAGTAGAATACATTCTTTACGCCTCATCAAGACTTCTTGATCTAGTTAGCAAGGTCGGGGACAATGGATCAGAATAGCCTATCGTGTCACTGTATCTTGACTTTCGTTCTGTTTACCGAGTAAGGTGAACTCGTAATAGCATTCAAACATATCATCGGTACTTAGAAGTTCACTGTTCCTACAAGAAATATAGGTATATAGGCGAACCTACCACATTATATCGATTAGCGTTCTCAAGAAATAAAATAACAGTAATACAAAAAGAATAAGCATCAAAAATACAAATCAAGGAGAAAACATAAATTGTTTCTAAATACATAGTCGCAAACATAAAGAATAATAATAAAAGAGAGAAAAAAACTTGTCACTATGCAAATAAATAAAAAAATTAATTAATCATTACAATAATCAACTACTTACAAATCTACTTTGTATTTTTTCGATATTGCATAAGTTTTCTTTAATGCTTCAATTAAAAATATTAAACCAATTAATGCTGCAAATGATTCTTCAGTGAAACGTGTAATAAATTTGACTAATGCGCTCAGATCAAGTGCAACCATAATGAATAGGGCAACAGCAACCCAAATACCAATCCATAAACGAAAACTTAAATATGACCAATCCATTTTTCTGCAAAATAAAAATTATTATAGAAAGGATTATGTGTAAATAGTGGGGTTTTTTTGGACGGGGGATTGGGAGGAGAGGGAAATAAATGAATAGTTAATTAAACACGTGAATTTAACTGTATGTCTTTTTGGAAGAAACTATAAAATAATAAAGGAAAGATAGGATGATTTTATTTCTTTAGGATGCGGGTAGAGAAGAGAATCATTACTACAATCTGGAGCAGGTCGTGAAGATTGTTGCATTCTAAAGTTTCGATCACTGACTGATCTTGAGTTACAGAATTAGTAAAAACCAAGAAGGAAAGGATAACTGTTTCATCCTAGTACGGAACTAGTCAACATTAGGCGTCCACAACGCCACAAAGGATCGATCTCAAAACGTTTGATTTCGCAGCAAGTGTTAGGCCGGGATTCAATTTTATTCATGTACAATTATCAATCAATATTCTATCTTTTAATGCCAATGGTGGGTAGTTGTCTCATATCTCATAAGATTGATCTTCACATATTACAGCTCTTTACTATGAAGCTTGAGAAATTACTTCTGTAAATTAGCCAGTAGTGAGCACATAACTGTTACTAGTATTATGGGGGTGGGTTGTAGAGATAGTTAAGTCTTAATTAAACAATTATTGAAAGCCAGAGATCATTGGACATTCATTAGATTCTTGATCTTCAACCGTTACTTATTTAAGAACAATCCATTATTTAAATCACGTGATCACATCAATAAACTCCTGATGTACTGCAACAGCTATAATTATATTCTTCTTTTCCATCTTGATGTAACTAGTAGTACATTTTAATTAGTGATTTGTATAGACTACACTATAATCAGTCAGCTTTTTAAAAGCCACTACTCTGCCTATTCATACAAGCAATGTTATAGCATTATATATGTATGAGTTCTAGTATTCAGTCAGCCAGTAACAACGCAGAACTTCATACGTACGTACATCAAGTCAAGTTGCCATACCAAAGTAGCACACAGATACAATTGTCGATTCAAATCCCGTAGTGGTAGAGGTAGTAAGAGTATAAGCAGTAATCGGAAAGATTAGGGACTGAAGATGTTATTCAAGGAGTATAATACAGTGAAATCTATTTGGGAAGATAAAAAAGAAAGAGACATGAAGAATTCAGAAGATTAGAATTTGGGAGAACACAAAGAGTTGACGCACCTACGCCATTGCAATCAATTCTCAGCCATGTCACATTCAAAGCCTCTAACCATCGGTTGCTATCATCTCGCGGTCTCCAACCACGTAGTCTACACCTACCAACATGGCTCAGTCCACTTGTCAGTGACTTCATAGATTTCTACTATGTTTTGGTCTGGTCGCCCCCACCTTTCTTCTAACCTATTCCTACACCATTGAACATCGCTCTTCAGGGCAGTCGGTGGTTGGGCATACGTAACACGTGTCCAAGCCATCTCAACTGATGAAGTTTCACCACTTCATCAATTGATTTGCCATCCTTACCTAGTACCCGTTTCCTAACAACTGCATTACTTACTCGATGGTCCCAGGATATACGAGCAATGTTTCGAAGACACATATGATCAAATACCAGTAACCTACGAATATCTTCTACTCTGACCGGCCATGTTTCACTGCCATAAAGTAGGACGGAACGAACTGCTGCGCAGTAAACCCGTCCTTTGGTTGATAGACGGATATCTCGCCTACGCCATAAATGACGCAAGTTGGCAAAAGCTAGTCGAGCCTTCTGTATCCATGCTGAGATTTCGTCACACACCAGACCACAAGGGCTGATGAGACTTCCAAGATAAGTGTAGCGGTCGACACGCTCAACTACTTCACTCCCTATCATTAGTTCGGGTGTCAATGCAACCAAATCCCGAAGCAACATTTTGCGTTTCTAGGACGAGAATCGCATCGCGAACATGCCTGCATTGTTACTTAGAGTGGTCAGAAGACTCTGCGTTTTCGATAGAACAATGAGAAGACCGAGTTGATCTGAAAAATGTGATGCATTTGCGCTATACACTTCGAACAATCTGGTCACACATTTTTCAGATCAACTCCGTCTTCTCATTGTTCTATCGAAATTTATAAAAGGGACTAATTGCTTTAAACTCTGCGTTTTGTCAGCGTCTTCACCAAACGGAACTATGTCATCGGCATATTCTAAGCCAACATGTGGATCTCCTGGTAGAAGTTCTAGTATTAGCTCACAAGATTGCATCACTCCATGTATATAGATTGCCAGAGTAGTTTATGCCAATCCGGGATATCTTTGACAGTGTTTAGAAGTTAGTTTACTTCTAAAAGATCATATATGTAATACATATTACAGAAGACTTCTGCTATGTTATTCTTTTTTTCACTAGTTATATAATCTTCTTTTCAATCTATTCTACTTATGTTTCAGAGTAATATTTATTACAATTGATAGTTTAACCGACATTACTCGGTTAGATTCGTCAGTACTAATCGAGATTGTTTTACCCTCTATCTCAAGTATACTTATTTTGCCTATTTAATAACATCCTATGCTTTGACTAATGATAAACTTCTTCTGACAACGATCAACATTGAGTTGTGGGCAATATAATCTAAACACTAATCAAATTAACAGAACGGCATTTTCTATTAATAAAGGTTTGGATGAAGATATTTCCTAAAGATTTGTATAATTTTCGTAGGTTGTATTCATCAGAAAATAATATCAATCGAAAATATCATTGACTTGCTTCAAGACGTTTCCGAAGTTCTAATGAGAACTAGTAAACGATATTCCGACATATAAGGAGTGAAACACTTGTTACCACTAATTTGAATGTTCGTCATGTTATAACTCAAATCGATTGAAATTGAAATTCTATCATCACTGGACATCAGACTAAATGGTTCGAATAATTAATTGTTTCCCTCACAACTTTAAGATCCTGGATTAGATATCAAGAGTTTATTTATTGCCTAGAAGTCACATATTGTGATCAATCTGCGACAAATACAGCATACGCATAAAATTTATTCAACTAATTTAATTCACTTATAACTAGAAAGTTACGTAGCCACCTCTAGTTAGGAGTGATTTATGATCATGGTAAGTAATATCCACACTAATAAGAATTATAAAAAGAATCTGTTCACGATTGTAAAGTATGCTGGGCGATATTTCGAAATATAACCCGAGAATGGATGGTATATATATATATATATATATATATATATATATATATATATATAATGGTGCGAATTAAACCGGATAAACTCAATACTGTACACTTTCTAATTAATGATCTCTTTACATTTTCATTTGTTTATACTTAAAAGACCTTATGATGTATTTGTTCAACGAATTTCGGTCACTATTATTATTATTACTACATAAAATTTCATGCTATATATATATGTATACGTAAAGCATAAAAATGCGAAGAGGCCGACAAGTTTAATTAAACTTTACAATGTTGTATTCATTAGATTAAGAGTAGTTAATAGTAATAAGTGTATGCATATATTCACATATATATGGATGTATGATAAAACGGCAATAATAGTGACAATATTTCTCTCTTTAACTTTAAATAAATTCTCATTTTGACTATTTTTTTCACTCTGTTTATATCTTAAACTGACTTCCTTTATTGCTTTACTACTTATAACCATAATTAATAATGATAATAATAATAATGTTTCGTAACTATGTAGTTATTAGTTGTTAATTATATATATATATATATATATATATATATATATATATATATATATATATATATATAGTGAAGATTAGATCTGGGTATGTTTACAATGTAATACATTCATTGGAATTATTCTAGTATTTATGATGTTATAATATAAATGATAAATTTTTAGTTGATAATGAAATTGTTGATAAACTTATTTTACAGAGTATCTGGTTATTTATTTTTTGTTTTCATTTATTTATTCGTATAATTTTCATTGTCTATATCCTCTGATTTTGTTGACTTCTTTTATTTCTTCCGACTTTAACACTCTCGTTTCCATCTGACCTCATCTATCTCTCCCTCTCTTATTTTCTTGTATCTAATTACCCACTAACGCTGAATGTTTAAATGGTTAAAAGTTAATTTTCAATGAAATTTATTTAAAATATTACGAATTTACATACATATGTGAATATGTATACATTTATATAGTGTTATATATATATATATATAAATAAGAATCAAATGATTACTTCCTGTATATCTGACTATTTATCTGCTTATTTAATGTACGTTTGTGGGCACAATAGTTAACGAAATTGTCTAAGTAATTAATTTGTATAAATACATATTTATTATTAGTTTGTTGTGGTACTGTATTCTGATAATTAAGTGATAACTATTATAGGGGGGGGGAGGAGATTTGTAGAAATTGTAGAATTTTCAAAGTTTAAGTTACGAAATAATCTTAGCTAGATCATTATTTAAAAATAAGAGGCTCTGGTCGACCGGTTCATTTTGGTATAGGACTTCTGAGAAATATGCATTTGGAACTTTGCGTCCACGAGTCGAACCATGAATATGCATTGATGAGAAGTCCCAAACTATGACGAAACGGCCGTCAAGTGCATCTGTGTTTCATTAGGGGTCTATCTAAAATCTATTCTTCATTTAAACTATGAAGATAACTTAATTGATTTACGTTATATTCATTTCGAATTTCAAGTCACCGCTTGCCAATGTGCAATATTTTAAGAAGTATTGAATTACGCTATAGTAGGGCTAGGATTAGATAAGACATTTAACTTGGAACCATAATCTCGCCCTATCTACTTCTGTTTCGCGGGATGCACTCTCCTTCTTTCTCTTAAAATGACCTCTCATAGAACAATGGGTTCATTACCTCTTTCGGGAGAATACTATACATTACTTTCATGAGATATGAGTGAAAAACCTAAGCATATGTCTGCCAATTAAACTAAGCTGAAGGATGATAATGGTTTACCAAAAAGAATTAGGAAACTTATGTTTTCAAATCAGTATTGAATATGAATTTCCGGATCTTGAAGGGATAAATAGGGTACGAAGTGAATGCTTTAATGGTAACATGTTTCAGGCTGTGAGGCTGAATGACATAGGCTCAAATATCACGGGAACAATCAATTCCACCAACATTGAAGCTATGACTTGGTAAAGGGTACGAAACATAAGTCAATGATATGGAATTGCTTTCCACTGACTATCTTCAACCACTTAGGAAACATGTTTAAAAGAAATTTAGCAATAAATTTGTACTTTAATTCGATTGTAAATAAAATAGCAGCAAAAAAACTCACGTGCATAATCTAAATATGATACTTTCAAATACTAGAACTGGTCCTGTACTACCCATGATAGTTAACGGTTGTCCAGAAAATAGTGAATATGTGATACCTACAACTGCACCTGATAATATACTTTCAATTGTCCCCTGAAAACAGAATAAATAATCGTTGTTAATAAATATGAAGTAAAATCAAATGTCTAATAAATAAATAATATCAAGTGTTAATATGTGAAATCATACGACAATATTTGGAAATAGTCGTTGTCATGATCTGGCCATTGATGAGAGTGCAAAGAAGGGGAAGGTCAAGAAAATGATTAAAACAGTGAAAGTTTACTTCTCTGAAAACGAATAGCCTATATTTTATTCACAACCAAATCAGTAGAACATACTAATGACCAGTTGTTTCTGCTGAAATCATGAACCTGTCAATGTTAGAACACCACTGAAGACTTAAAAGGACTGATATTTCGTTCTGTATGGGACCACCCAGCAGTGCGCACCCACAATCCCGCATGCAGGAACCTTCAATCCTGAGCGTGAACGCTTATTCTCTAAGCCACTATGCCGTCATCCAACAGTGTTCATGTCAAACTATAATCAATATACGATAAAGGCTTCCATCTCTTCTAGAATTTCACCTTTATGTGTGATTTGGTCTGTACCCACTGTTTTTACTTCTTGTTTTTTCCCTTGTGAATGTTAAGTTCCACTTCTGCATAAACCACACTGACTGCTTTATTCTGCATTCGTTTCTGTGTATGGGGTAAGTGGAAGACCAGGTGATATGTGAAGTCTAACTCATCCAACTACATACGAGGTGCCCACTGTATACTCTGTTTTGCTTGAGATGTGAATATCTTCTTATTCCAGTCAACAAAGAGAAGAAAGAGAAAAAGCAAGAGCAGGCAGCTTTGTATGACATCAGTCATCACTTGGAATATATCCTTGAGATGACATTTGGTTGACTGACTGACTTGTAACTTGAATGGCTAAAAATTAGCTTCGTTTTATTCAAGACTATCAGTGAGGCACTTCTACATCATAGAGACAAAGGACTGATGAACAATCATTTCTGTCCTAGTTTGCACCCGTCCAACACTAAAAACGCAGACAGCCTACTCCACCATGGCCCACATACCTCTGATCTTCAGGTGAAGGTGATGGACGCGCTAACACCTAGATACTACTAGGTAAGTCAGTGTTGAATGATTCATATTTCCTAATCCAATTAAATTGCGATATGAAACTGATAAGGCAATTACAGGACTACACAGTTTTTATCAATAAAGCTAAAGTTTAACTAGTAACAATAATCATGGGTACTTTATTCCCAAATCAATTTTTGAATGACTTTTGGGCCTTTCAGGTTCGTCTCCAATTTTCTGTGTGTTTTATGGTCATAATTTCATAACTAATATATATACTGAGTAGTACTACTTCGAGTTGTTCTGTTTGAATACCAATTTTTTTCTAAAACATCACCTTCTTGCTATGTTAACTTCTAATTGTCAAATCATCGTATAATAGATGCCGTTGTCTATTTTTCGAAAGCCATCATCCAGAAGACATAAGTGTTTATTAACAGCTCTCTACGCAAAATACTTCGGATCCGTTGACCAGACACTATCAGCAACAACCAATTGTGAGAGAGAACAAACCAGGAAATCAGGAAGAAGCGCTGAAAGTGGATAGAACACACATTGAGGAAAGCAACCAACTGCATCACAAGGTAAGTCCTCACTTGCCATTCTCAAGGCCAAACGAGGAGAGGAAGACCAAAGAACACATTACGCCGAGAAATGGAGACAGACATGGGGAGAATGAACAACAATCAGATAGAACTGGAAATGCAGGTCGGCGGCCTATGCCCCATTGAGAGTAACAGAAGTAAGTAAGTAATTAATTAAGTAAGTTATATGTTTTTATATAGTATACCTATTCGTATTAAAATAATTCAATGGTTCCTTAATTCGTGAGTACCACAGAGTCAATCAAAAACACTAAAACGTAATTATTCATAATAAGACTTAATAGAAACAGGATAAATTTATAACTTCCTCTCAAATATGATTTAACTCTATAGTAATAACAAGTTGTTATCAATATTGGAATATGGAGAGTTCGCAATACAAGTCTTACTCATCCGTCATTAGTTATTCCAGTGCATCATTCACTATTTTATTAGTTAACTTAATCACAAACAATAATAATGTGTCTTTTTTCTCATTATGGACAAACAATATGAAATATTATCACTAATCATTCATTGATTCATTTTAATTAATTCTAAATGTATATTATTCACAATAGCGGTTAAGATAAGATAACTTCTCATATAATCAAATACTTAATTACATGATAATACATTTATAATTAATTTTATCTCTATATAACTAATTATGGGAAATATGGAAATGATAAGACCGTTTTATTTATAACATTGAATAGTGATATATATTGTTATTCACTTCAAATAACTTTATATGCCGACAAATTAATAATAGTTATAATTATAATTACCATCGTGATTAGTAATGTTATTATTATTATTATTATTATTATTATTATTATACCTTTTAAAAGTTAATATAAGTCGGAGAGGTTGACTTGACACAAATTCTAAGGATCGCATATATACGAATGTATCCAAATCAAGAGTTTGACCACATTATATATATATATATATATACCTTATTATCACTACTATGATTAATATATTCATACAATACAATATGCATATATGTAGTATAGTATAGTATAGTACAGTATAGTATAGAATTATCTTTTTTCTAGTTTATTTTATCCTGGTCAATTTTTTGTTGTTCTTGTTCTTGTTGTTGTTATTGTCGTATTCTTTTTTATCCCAAAAATTTTATGTAAATCTTCAGGATAGAAACAATTTATATAATTTCCATAAGTTCAGTTAAATGAGTTCCCCACCCAATAGATTTTTTCTCAGTATTAATATAAATGGAAAAACATTGAACTTAATGTTATTTCATCTAAGAATTCATATACATCTAAAATTGATTATGCAATTTTTTAGTCCATAAATAATTGAGAAATTTGTAAAGATTGTTTTGTGCATTCGAACAAAATATGAGCATCTCAGTATCAATAAATTAATCACTACAACTAAATACTAGAATCTCTACAAATTCTCATACTGATAATAATCATGTTCTCGCTAGTAATTAGCCTTAAGATGGATTTCTTGGAGTTCTAATGAGAAAGCGTGACTAGTGGAGTCTAATTTATGTCACTTGTGAGATATTTATCCTACTCAGACAATGGATGAAGGGTTACAAAATAATCTGGACTGATTGAAGTCAGATGTTAACATCGTTAGACCCCGGTCCGATGGTTTAGAAGTTAGGCATTCGCACATGAGACTGACGGTCCTGTGTTCGATTCCCATGTACTGGGTCATGAATGTACACTCTCGAGGAGTCCTATATTAGGATGAAAAAGACATCCAGCGCCTCCAGACATTTAATGGCGGTCTAACTAAGATTGACTCATGAATTCAACTGTGAAAATATTACGATCTCCACAAATCTTCATACTGATAATAAATTGTAGTAGTAATAGCAGTAGCAGTCAGGGTCTGTTAGTATTACAATAAATCGGGGATTACTAACTGAATAACTCAGTAGCAACATCTGTTTGACTATGTGACAATAGATAATGTAGAGCTCATATCTAATGAGAAACATAGCGGGAGAGAAATAAAGTTGGTCTTATGTATATATCAAAAGAGCAACCTTACAGAAAAATACAATAATTAAGTTTGGAAAATAGATAAGTGCATACTTTCGACACTTTACTAGTATTTACTATTGATGATCTGAAGTGTATGGTGTGATCTTGGTTAATAAGTAATGTCGAGTATGAAGCATACGGTAACTGATGGGAGGCAATATCACACATACTTAGACTAACAGTTATATATATATATATATATATATATATATATATATATATATATATATATATATATATATATATATATATATATAGTTAGAGTTATTGGTTGGAGAGTTTAATGTTGTTATTATTTCTACAATTTGATGATTATGACAGTATCCGATATTTGGTTTGGTTTTGCATCGAGGGTATCAGTTTATTAACGATATCTGCAAAAGTAATACTTAGTCCCAAGTAGCTTAATGTTGAGTATCAAAAAACTTTTTCTTGGGTAAATTCATTTTATTAACATGATTTCTATTGTAAAAACTATTTGGTATGAAAAACAAGAAGTTAGTAGTCAGTGGCCGTCCCTTATTACTAGATGGCTGTAAAACATGCTCTTTGAAAATAGTAAATATTCATAGCTTACTAGTCTTTGACTAATAGTTCTTTAGAAGCATTACTCGCTTGTTTTTGGATTGCTGAGTGAATTAGGTCAGGCTTAGGGTACTAGACAAATATGGAAAATTAGTTGATGAGGTTGTGAATCCTCTTAGACTGAAGCGGATGTGAGATTTCTTATGTATTCTTAACCAACGGCTACCTTGATCTAAAATGTTTGTGGATGTAGGATTAGGTTTTAAGAAAGAAAAGGTGGAGTAAACCAAGATATGATATCAGTTCATGAAATTATTGAATGTTGAGCTAAGATCTGTCAGTAGCTTCAGATTACCTGGTTGAGATCTATGCAATGACTGTGATTACTAGTAGGAAACTTTGATTAACACTGCTCAGAATCAGTGACAGTGGCATAGAGAAATCTACTCCTGCAATTTAGGTTTTAAAATCATCACTTACTTTTTTATTTCACAAATTTATCGCTTTTCTTTTCCAACCATATTGTCTTCGTCGAATATTGTTTTAATACTACCCTGACATTTGTCATAATTATTTAGTCTCTTTATGTGTATTGATATACTTGGACAATTTGAATCAATGTACATATTTATCAAGTTCTAGGTTGTCGACAACCAAATCTTATTAGGATAGAGTCTTGATTAATGAATATTTGAGACCAGATCAAGTCAGAGCAAGCTGATTATTCCATTATCAACCAATCACTATTGGTGTATGGATGGATTAATGATAATACAAAAATATGACAATGTAAATTATTATGTATACTCTAAAACGTTTTACTACATCAAATTTTACTAGTTAATTTTTTGTAAAATACACTCTCAGCTCCTTTTCATTTGTGGACTAGTCAAGTAAGGTGATGTGTACAAGGAATAATTCGGTATTATTATTATTATTATTATGGGAAGACATAACACATTAATTAACTGATTTATCAAGGCGTGTATATACTGTTGAATTAATTTGTCATTTAAGAATCACATCATACTATGTCAGCTTGTAGATAGATTTAAGTAGTCCGATCAAATCCACTTTGAATAAGTCACTGTAGGCAAAAAGTAATGTTAATAATAATAATAATAATAATAATAATAATAATAATAATAATAATAATAATAATAATAATAATAATAATAAATTACTTACTAAATAACCCCCAGTTGCTTGAGCCAATAAACCGCCAAATGTTATGATTGGTGTTAAACAAGCGAAATAGAGGAAAATGAAACTTGCACAACATTGTACATGTATAGCATCTGTGAAATCACTGACATAATGCGGTGCACGACGTTTAATATCTTGTACTAGACCACCGAAAATGCTGATTATATATATATGGAGAGAGAGAGAGAGAAATAGATGGATGAGAGAAGCAGAAAATATTCAACAATATAAGTATTATACAGCGCTTATCTTAGAGATTATAAATTGAATGATAAACGATTTGTTAAATTAATTTGAAATATGAAACACGTATTAGTATATTTGACAACGAGGGAGACCACAATTTATGGACGACGTTTGAACTACGTCAAAATACCATTAGGAAAATTCACCTACCTACTAGGGTCTAAAGAGGATTATAAATTATTGTGAGAAACCTTAATCAGAATTTAGAGATAAAAATTAGGCTTTCGAATTAGAGTTTGAATCAAGAACTGACATCAATTATAATGTTAAAATGCAATTTAGCCATACTCACGAATGAAAATCTAAGGCTCTCTCTCTTAAGTCTGATTAGTTCATCAATCAAATCGTTTCATTTGACAAACTGAAATATGTATGTACTTTCATCATATAGTTATATATATATATATAATTTGCGTCACTTGTGGTATCGGGAGAATCACATCTGTCAATCAAAAGTTGAGTATGCTGGCTCAAATTTAACTCTGTATTACTCTATGGTTGTCAACAACATGGTCTGTGAAATAATAAAACATGAATAGATTGTACATTTTCCGTTATTTCTCGAAAAATATCGTAGAGTGATCGAGGGGGGAATCCTGACGTTAGTCATGAAGTAATGGTCAAAGATAGCAAATTGGTTGACGAGGATGTAGTTCTTTATCCACTAAGGTACTTAGGACTACTACTCACCTCGAAAGACGATTTTTGCTAAAGTGTAAGTAGGGTGGAAGAAAGATAGGAGTGATCAAATCAGGACATACCATCAATCTAGAAAGTTATTGACCGTTCGTTTGTTCTCTATTGGAAAGTGAAGTTCACGTGTGGTGACCGTGATTATTGTTTGGGGACATTCAGTTATATGATTTTCAGGTAGTTGCAGTACGCCTAACCTCTAAACCACTGGACCGTGATCTAATAGTGTTAGTGTCTAACTTCAACCAATCCATAATATCTTGTAACTCTTCATGAAATGTCTGTGTAGGATAAATATCTCACACCCGACATGGATTAGACTCCACTAGTTGCGGCTTCCGATTGGAACTCCAGGAGTTATACCTTAAAGCTAGTCACTAGTGAGAATATGATTTTCATTTATTTAAGTAATTAAGGACACTACTTCAAACAAGCAATACCATACTGAATGACAAGTTATGTGAAAGAAGTCTACAAACATATCTTAAATTATCAATTTTTTTAAAGAAGCAGTGATAAAAACAGACAATAAAAGAAACCTCATTTGAATATAATTTTTATATATGATTGATCATGCTGGTGAGCGGCCTACGCTCCTTCACGAGGAGTAACAGGCGTAAGTAAGTAAGTAAGTAAGTACGTACGTAAATTGATATAATGAGTGAAGCTAGAACTGAGCATTATGATAATTGAAGTCAATAATTCTACTGAAGTGAGATGAATGACCGTTCCCTTAAGCTGTTGTTTATTTCTATTATTTAATGACTTATTATAATCATTTATCTAATGATATTATTGGCAAAATTAGGCTATGAAGGTGAGCTAATGATGATTGCATGAACCCCTTCAAGATTACAGAATATATATCACAAAATGGCAAGTCATTGTCCATTGACAATGGAATAGAAAATAGAGTTGGGTTTTAGGTTTTCACCATACTTTGATATCAGTTACAATGGATGAAGGCTTTGTAGACATACAGATGGAATGTGTTTGTGCAGAAATACAATAGATTCTATATTAAATCAACATCATAGATCAATCATTTATGGTTGGTACTTTTCGATTAACCGAGTGAGTTGAGAATTCCTCGTGATTACTTAAGCCTATCGGTATTGTCTTTTGATCCCAAATAATTCTAGAAAGTTTATGTGAGTAGCCATCACTCAGCTACAGTTCATACCACGACATCATAGCTAACTAATCTGCATAATATTTCATCCCTTGCAAAAATAAAGGTTATGGTTTCTGAACATTTTTATTTTATTGATAAAAGAGAGGGTCATTGTTCAGTTAGGTGCATGCAGTGAACAAGTCATTAGAGGATCGACTTTACAGTTAAGTGGTCAGATCAGTCAAGAGAATATAAGGGGGTTACAGTTTTGATGAAAAACATACCGGCCAGTTCGATTTAATGCTGGATCATCTCCATGACCCCCACCCCCACCACCACCACCATGGTCGTCAGAACCCCCGCCAGACTCGATATTTGTCAATTCTAAACGACTGCCAGTACTTCGTGCAAGATCAGTTTTTGACTTGTGTATTGAATCACTTTGGCCAATAGGTTTGGTAACCCCATCCACTTGTTGACTACGTGGAGTAGCATTACCTACGGCGGCTAAACAAAGACTGGCAAGTTTATCTCCACCAACATGAAGTTGTTCAACAACTGCTACACCAGGTTCAGAAGTAGTAATTTGAGGTGGGATCACAGTTGACTGAGGGCCATTACTGACCGTCGTTTTCCTACTGTCCTTTAATGAAAAAAGAGAGAAAGAACAGGGTTGTAGGATGAAGAACAGAAACAAAAAATATATTGAATCAATCTTCCGATAAATTCAGTAATCCAATTAATCCAAGAAAAATAAAATAAACAGTTTATAAAGATAATCGGAAGCGTATTATAGTTCTCGACAATGACCAGATAGTAGATAGAAGAAAATTTTCAGTAAGGGAATGTGGCAATCATTTAATTTTATTGAGATCATGAACCGATCAATGTTAGACTAGCACAAAGACAGTTAGTAGTGAGGACATTATAATAAAAGAGGAAATTTCCTGAGTTCTAGTGAGAAATCGTGATCAATAGAACTTTGTTAGGTCTGAGGCAATTAGCCATCAAAGTCAATGAAAGATGGTTGCAAAACATTGTAGATTAATTGAAGTTAAATAATAACACCGTTTGATCACGGTTCAGTGATCTGGAGGTTAAGCATTCACGCGCCAAAACTGAAGGTCTTCGTTTCACTGTCCACTTAATGGATCGTGGATATGCACTGTTGAGAAATCCCATAGTAGAACGAAACGATCATCAAGTGTTTCCAAGTTTTCAGTGGTGGTGTAACATTGATCGATTCGTGACTTTTATTTTAAATCGTTTGTTCATAAAAATGTAACACTAAATGATAGCTGTTTCTTCTTATTCTCGATCTCCCCTCATAAACCAATATACATGAGATTTTAGATAGGATCATAATTTCAAATTGTAAATAATCACTAAACCAAATAGAAATTAAACACATTTGTAAACTGACTTATATTAATTTGTGACAAACATCTGAATGGAAAACGTGAAATTTTAACTATTGTACCTAATGTCACAATCATTTTGCGTTCATCAATAAATCTAAAAGTCGAGATTCCAATTTGTTAGCGATAGTCATTTATATGTTTGTGATTTGAACTTGTAGCTAGAAAGAGCGAAGAATAAGTTCATTTACGTGACTAGTATCACGTTTACAGAGTTTTATCATGAGTACATCCAACCACTCAATATCAAAACTTAATGTACACGATGTGGAACATCTTCAACTTGTGACCACAGTGCAATATGACCGAATGAAGTCGTCTAGCAACAATGCAGGACTAGACAAAAATAACATTGATCATCACTCAATGAAATTTCGATTTTCATTTATGATCCTGGCACAATTCGAGTGATTTGATCAAACTGAAATAAGAGGAAATTAGGCTTCAATGTCACAATTTGTTGATTGGAACTTATATAAATTTAACATTTGAATAATCAGACACTCCTTTTTATTATCCAATAATTACTCAAGTGATGTTAATTAATAAGTGAATCAATTTTTTACGACAGAAAAATTTTTCTCAGAAAAAAACATTTCATCTTTTGACAATCAAAAATAATTTGGCTCAATCACTGACTGACAAGAGACGAAAATAAATATGCTGACATGTATATATATATATTTGTCTAGACTATAGCGTTGATTGAATTCTGCTGATCAATATGACTAGATTAGTCTATGTAACACAACATTAAGCGGTCTGTATATCGATGAGGGATTTTCGGAGTCAAGAAGTTGCATAGAAGTTGTCACTTGTTGGTAATGTGTATTTTATTACTTCACTGAATGAGCAATGCTGAGGTTAGGTACAGGATACCAGGTAAATATGACGAATAGATTGATGAGGTATTAAACCTTTATCAACGTGGGTGGTTGTGACATGTGTTATGCCCAGCACAGCCTATCTCAATGGGCGATGCTGTCTGGTGTAGGAGTAGGTAGAGGAAATTTAGTATCGGCGAAACCAAAATATACCATCAGTCCATGAAGATATCAACCAATGGACTGAGCCATGTAGGTAGGTTCAGACTACTTGGTTTGGGTCCGCGCGATTATCGTAATCAATGGTCGGAGACTTAATGTGAAATGGCTCGGAATCGTTAGCAACAATGGGATGGATTCACCTTGTCTTAGGATCTGAGTACCTAAGTTTCCTCATACCTTTTCTCCTTTTCTATATCTAGTATTTTCTACTATTAATAGTATTGTTACCATTTCTACTATTCTGGAATTTGCCATGAAATCATTTTATTTGCCTGCTCTAATGTTGTATGAGAACTTGAACCGATTCAAATGTGTGGGGTTTTACGTTGCATATGGGTGACTGACCTGTTAATTAACCTATGAAATTCAAGTATAACGTCATGTAATTTGAAAACCAAAAGTGAAGTAATATGTAACGACCAGTTTTCGTATACTATTTACGGTTGCTCAAACTGATTTAAATGGAATTAAGTTCAAACCATGCAGTCAAATAATTAGAAGTTTAGAAACTTCAAATGTTACACAATCCCGTTCACATGGTGTTATAGCCCAAGGCCGCCAATCAGAAGCAGCGAATTATCGATCAGCCAAGGACGCGTAAATCACGTGCGAGCAGCCTAGAGTTCTGATTGGTCCAGCTTTCCGCCTAGCCCAGCCAGTTAAGTCCAGAACACCAATCTCAGCCTCTGCAACTTGAATCTTTATATTCCAAACATACTGGGTTTATAAACCAACCAGACAGACCACATAGTAACATCAAAATAGGAAACGACATTTGTACAAAATTTGGCCAAATGTGGCTGTGAATGTGGGAGGCAGTGACTAATAGACAGGGCATAATTCAAGAATGGTAGAACGTATAATAATGGTTCATAGGTCAAAATAAAGCTCATAATGAGAGGAATATGAATATGCATAGTTTAGTTATTTAACAATTATACGATAAAAATGTACGTTGAGTATTGGTTCACAAAAGGATCCCAAAGTTACCATTCATTATGTTTATCGGGACCTAACACATAAGTAACTAGAGTATGCTCGTTTCACAATGTATTACATTCAGTCAATAATTAATTAATATATTAAAATCATGAACCGATCAATGGTACACCACCACTGAAAACTTGAAACACTTGATGATCGTTTCGTTCTACTATGGGATTTCTCAACAGTGCATATCCACGATCCATTAAGTGGACAGTGAAACGAAGACCTTCAGTTTTGGAGCGTGAATGCTTAACCTCCAGATCACTGAACCGTGATCAAACGGTGTTATTGTTTAACTTCAATTAATCTACAACGTTTTGCAACCATCTTTCATTGACTTCGATGGCTAATTGCCTCAGAACCACTAGAAACCTGGAAATTCACCCCCAAAGCTAACCACCACCTAATTAGTGACGATTATTACTGATCATTTATCACACTGAAAAACTACAGTGCGGTAATGGCTTAGTGGTTAACGTAAGTCAATTTGCAATCATCAGTAAGTCGAGCAGGTTCAAACTCCACTTCTCCGTCCGTTTTGGTTTAAACAGCTAGATAACGATTTCCCTAGCCCTCTCATTCTCCGACGCATACAAACAAAAGAGTATAACGCAAAGATGAATAAAGAAATAACTGTATTTATCGAATAAGCGAATTCTATTAAAGTATTCAATGTGAACATCTACAAGTCACACTTATTGTATAAAGAACAGTTGGTTGGCGAGAGTACACAGAAAACATCTTGTTAATGAATTCCGAATGGGAAGAAATCTAGGTCTAGGGTATCCTACTAACTACCTATAATCACTTAACATTCCAAGATAGTGCTTGTAATGTTGAGCCACTTAGATTAATAGAGGTCACATTGTGAGTTAATGAACAGAAATCAATATGTACTAGGCAGGATTAGATAAACATGACATTGGTTACTACTACTCAATAGTCAACCAGTTGTCAACACATCAATAAAATTTCAATAGTCGAGATCATGAGTTAGTTTAAGCTAGACCACCATGGAAAACCTGGAAACGACCATCCACAAAACCCCTTCTGACATCAATAAAAGGTGAAAATTTATAGATCGATCAATGAGAGTATATTCAGTCTCAAAACATTTATCCCAAGTGATACAAATGACACTGTATGTTCTCTCCTATACATAACAGAAAGTTAACTATCAAGTTAAAAATATGATCAAGGGATAGACAATGTCCTGTCATATTCATATAATAATTAAATACTATTATGTATGTGAATCAATTATATATAATGATTTTCTATCTTAGTAAAGTTTTTCGAGGAATATTTTTCACAATAAAACAGAAATAAATTCACTTAGTATTGTTTACTTGAATATTCCCGTTGATGTTTAGCATTGGAATTGATCAGTCTATTATTGGCATATGTGCATACTATGAGTATTGCCTCGATATTGTCTTAATTCACAAGCATTATAAGCAAAGATGGATAGTGGCTAGCAATGAAATCCAGGACGCGCGTTTCGTCCTATTTGGGACTCGTCAGCTGGATGTACCTGCATCGCAGAGTTGATGCTATTATTATTATATTTTATGAAGGACATTGTTTAATTTGTAAAAATATTTTTGTAAAGAGATTTTTCTTTGTATTCAGCTGAGTTGACAACATAAAGCGAGTATGGGATAAATGTTTCTTCGTACTTTTGAAATTAACGGTGTCAAACCTTCTCACAACATGAAATCGAAGCCAAAGCATTTAACTTTTTTTAAATAAAATAATACTATAGGTCGTTGTATCATTATCTAATAGTTTACAATTTGAATTTCAACCAATTCATAATAAAACGAAATGATTACTCGATAACTTTCTAAGCAGAGTTCGATGATGGCTATCAGTGGAATGCGGAACACTTGTTTCATTGTAGTTGGGACTCATCGGTTTTATGTACTTTCAATAAAGTGTTGATTTTCACGTCAGGACTCGAAGAAAGTAACTTTTATTTCAAACGCTATTACGTTACCCACTTAGCTAATGAATATATACAACCATTAGTTTGTGAAATGGGATGGATACATCCTGGATTACCTTACTAGCTACTGTCTAAGAAAGCAAAATAATTGCAGACAGAGATTCATCATAGATGAATCAATTGATCTATACCTTGACAAAAAGGGATACAACACAAAAATGTGGTTCGTTTTTATTTCCTACTACATTCTGAATTAATTAATATATTAAATGAGAAAGTGCAAAATGAAGCACGAAGTGAATAGGAAAAGGTGACATAAATATCAGTGTTTAAAGGTTAGGCGTTTGCATGCGAAACTGAAAGTCCTGGACTCGAGTAGCGCGTGCGCGATCATGAATGAGCACCGCTGAATAGTCCCATATTAGTACAAAACGGTCATCCAGGTGTTCAATGACGGTCTAGCTTAGATCAACTCATGAGTTCAACTGTTCAAAATTAAACAGATGAAATAATTTAGCATAAAAATATTTGTGAATATACTTCAATTGATAGTTTAACATTAAGAATTGACTTAAGCTACACAAATATAAGAAACTAAGGAGAATTTTTTAAAATAAAAACACAGCCCTTTTATTCTGATATGAGAATCTATTGAAATCTATTTATTTACAACTTTTGAAGTAAAGGAATTATCAAAGATTTATTTACTCTTTAATTTTATACAATGCAGTAACTAGCGATTATATTGATTATGGTATTCTGACTGGGGAATCGATGAATAATTTAAGAGCAGAAATCGATATAATAAAGGGTTACAATATGACTTATACAGTTTAGTATATTTAGTAAATTGGTAAAATGAGATTGTTAAAACATTCATTTTAGACTATTTAAACCGCAGCAAAAATACTGTCTATTCGTAGAAATACCATTTATTGGTCTTAATTCTATTTCGGTTGATCAATTTATTCAGTTTCTTACTTGTTTCATGTTTGCTTAACCAATATTTTGCTAGAAGAGAGGGTAAAAACATTTTCTCTTTAATTAGTATAATAACTATCATCCAAACGGTGAATTGATAGTTGAAGATAATAGTTAAGCTGAAGCAGTCCAATTTTTTCTTCAATACAGAAATTCAAAAGTTGTCCTAATCTTGAATCATCTTAGTAGTTTTCATACCCATCAAAATTAAGGACAAATTTCTATAGAAAATTGCTTTCTCTCATGCACTATTTTCATGAAACAACAACACTTAACATTTCATGAGAATCCTAGGAACTATTTCCCATTTCAATAAAAAGAATTCACTATAGATTAAGCTGTATGTATTATCAGAAAAAACATCTATTTACTCATCACATCACTCTTTTTTAATTGATGAATATCAATTAATTGGAAATATCCAGGACAGTCTAATATAAGTAGTTGTAATAATCAGTTTTTAATACTTAACCGGACAGATACATGATAAACATAATAATCACACATAATTCCCATTTAAACATTACAAACATGAAACTTCAAAGAATAGATCTCGTTTCAGAAAAATTATTATCAAGCTGTACAACAGTATGTGCGCGTATGTATAAAGAACAAATATAATGATTTAATAGAAAGATTATTATACTCGATTACGCAATGTAAACAATAACAATAAAAGGTTGTAGGTATGCAAAAATATCTACCTTACTCTTTCACTGTTTTTTCATATCCCCATAGTTTTATTCATAACTGTCTCTGATATTACCTTATTACTTCTAATTATTTATAATGAAATACTTAGTAGTATAACTCCGCCTGGAGTCCCTCCGGGGGCTGCTGCCGGTCCCAAGCCCGGATAAAGGAGAAGGGTTTCGCATGGGGTTAGTGACCCCATCCCGTAGAAAACTAACTCGCTAAAAAAACGTTAACCACAAAAAAAATTATTCGAACTTAATAGTATTGTACAGCTTAATAATAAATTCATTTGAAAACAGATCCATTCATTGAACTTTGTGTTTTTTTTAAAATCACAATCTCTTACAAATAATTGTTAGAAGGCAAAAAACAATTATGAGTGAATAAAATATAAACAAAACCCCAAAACAACAATACTGATTATATATTGAAAGATGAGATAAAAGATTCCATGAATACTTCAATGAAATAGTTATTAGACAAAAACTTAATCGATCAATAAAAGTGTTAATATCCTCTGTATCAGTTAGTAAAATATCACAGCCTATAAATGTACACATAGGCATAGACGATAACATACAGAATAGGGTAGATAAATGATAGAAATAACTACAGACTATTTCAACAAGATAAACAACGGGATAAAATTGGCAAAAGACCGATATATATATATATATATATATCGACTTAAAGAAGGTTAGAAGGAAAGAGATAGTGTGTGTGTGTGTGTGATTGAATCAAATGATGGAGAATGGTAAGGGAAGACAAAAAAATACAAAATGTATAAATCGATGAGCTAAAATAAAATCTTATTATATCACACAACAATAAAACAGTTTGCCTACATTTTTTCCCCTCTTAAAAAACATATATTTAAATTCGAAATATGTTGGATTATACGTGTATGCGCATTTATATCTGTTTAATAAAGCTTCAATGTCGTCAAAGTGGAGCATAATTTTTTTCATCTTTATTTCTTTACTATGAAGAGTTCCTCTTTGTTTTTTTTGTTTTTTTTTGTTGATTTTTCAAGTGATTTACCGAATTTTCAGAGGTAATTTTAATCAACTTCAGAAATATGTATGATGTATTTTATCCTGATGAAAATATTTTCTAATTTTGCCTAAGTAGTTAACGTTCTGATGATAATCGTTAGATTTTCTTTTGAGGATGGAGCGGGAAGAAGTATGGGTCAACATGTACCATTTGTGGGATTATATATATATATATATATATATATATATATATATATATATATATATATATATATATATATATATATATATTTGTAAACAATAATCTCTCAGTGGATTAGAAATCAATCCAGAAAATCAATCAATCGATTAATCATTGGCATATAGATTAGATTACTTTAATAATATATAAATGAGTATTAAAAGCAAAATAATCAGGTTGTGAACTGATGTATTTTTATCGATTATGGAAAATATTAAAAAAACATGTAAATTGAATCAACTAGTTTTATGTAAGATGAACGATATTGGAATAACGATTAACATTTAGAGGTTTTTATCAACCATTCAAAACAATGGAGCGTTGGACAGTCGTTTTGTCATTCATATAAGACCATTTCATAAAGATTGAATCAAGGACATTTTGACCACACGAAGAGCACTTTATCATTAAACAATTGAGTTGGAATGAACTGGCTAGTATTTCTAACTGTAGTCAATTTTAAGTAAAGACTGAAGATTTATGAACTTTCTGCCTGAAGTCTTAATTAAGATGATTTGAAATTGGTCGTAATAATATGCCCATGAATCTATTGTTAATAATTTTTAAGTAATTTCCAAGGTTTTCGACAGATTTTTTTATTATGTGATATATTGAATATGTGGCTAGCAGTAAAATCTACAACTTAAGTTTCAGCTTATTTGAGATTCATCAGTTGGATATAGACTACAGGAGATCATCAGTCCTTATTCATATCTTTGCATCTGATTGATACGCTAATGGATATATGGACTCAGTAGTTCAGTTGATAACATATTGGATGTTTGCAGCGAAAAGTACAAGGATCTAATGTCAGTTTGTGTATTAAAAGTGAGTTACACATACATCCAGCTGACGACTTTCAAAAAGGACGAAACGTGGTATCATCGGTAAATTTTGGATTACATGTTGAGTTCACTACTATATTAGCTGTTTCTATCTGGGCTCATATAATTCTTACTTTGCCAACCTCCTTTCTCGTTATACTCTGATGTTATAGTATTTTTCATCAATACACAACTTTTTCGTATTCTCTGTAGTAAATCAGTTTATAGATAGAAAAACCATATTATTAAAGATACCAAATATTTAAAAAATGATAAATAAACAAAGAACTAGCTTACTTGTGATGGAACTGATGCTGGTGGTTCAATACGAATTGATGGATCCCACTCACCAGGTGGTAAGACAGTTGCAGCGCTCAAGAATTCATCTAAGCCGGCTAACAAATCTGTTCTAGATCGAGCCTTGTAAGCAACATCATGAAATACCTAAACGAAGATAATTTTTAAAATGAGAGAAAATGGGGAATATGATGTTACTCATCTATGTATTTAGTAGTATATTTATGTTAATTTGTCATTATAACTTGACCGAATAAACAGATGTACCTCAAGAACGATTATCTCCTACAACAACGCTTAGACGATTATCGTGATTCTGGTAATTTAGTCCAGAATTGATCAATCCAGCATCGCAAATCAGCAAAATGAACTTCTCATTCATTTTAGTGAACAGTAACTGATCAAGTGTTACTAACGTATAAATTTAATTTATTCCTTCAGAATTCCTTTCTTGAAAGGTACTAACTAAATGAAAATCGAAGTCAATACAAGTTATGCTTCCCGACTACCTCCAGGCATCTGATGTTAAAACCTGGTGCATACATTATCAAGTTACTTGAACTGGTTGGCCCAGATCGCACTTCGGTCAACAGATTTTCGGTCAACCAGAAAAATGCACTATCGGTCGCTGGTAAGGGATTAATCAATGTATTAAACACATATTATTCTCTAGCTGTCATTATTTTATCAATCAGTACTTCAACATTCATTTCTAAAACCTAAGAAAGTAATCTCAGTGATTGGTTAGTTTATTTTCAGAATTAGTTCAAAAATAATAGAAAACTACTACCTGGTTGGGATCGCTTTGATAACCCCGGTTATTGGTTAGAGATGTCGGGTGACACACCCCAGAATCATTCACAATGATCCAGATGTATTTAATTTTTATCTTCTTGTTTTCCTGAATTGTATTCTCAAAAATTAAACTTGCTCATTATCGCTGCTACTATATTATTTCAATCTCTTTTGAAATCTCGCAGACCAAATATCATCAAAATTAATGATGTATTGGTTAGTGGCTTTACTACAGTGTATTTATGTTTTAAACTCATGTTACAAAACAATTTTTTCCATAAATTCATCATATATAGAATTTGGAATATTACCAATTTACAGGGAAAAAAATACAACTTTACTTCATCGGACATAAGTACACCCATGGAACGACCAATTTCACGATATTTAGCTGCATTACCTATAGTACCCAGATGTATAAACAGAAATCTTGTCGGTACTGGTACTTCAGTGAGATCACCAAGTAAAACAGCCTCTTTTAAACGAATGAATACAGTGATTTGTGTTGTTAAAAATGTTGTTTCACCAACAAGTATATTGGAAGTCTCTGATCCAGGTGCAATTTTTTTCAAGAAATGTAAATCATACTGAAAGAAAATATAAAACATCACAGTGATTATGATAATGATTAGGATGATAACTGGTAACTAAAAGAGGTTATTGTAAGACCGAAAAATATACGTTGTAAGTTTTTTTCTTTAGGGAGATTCGAACTCAAGGGGATATAAATCGAAGAGTTGAATGACAATGAATACTTTGACTCTCGATATATATATATATATATATATATATATATATATATATATATATATATATATATATATATATATATAATTTCGGTTGTTAGCGTTCAGGACGAGTCTTTGAGGATACATCATATCGAATTTCATTTACCGAGGTGAGGAATTTCCCTCTGATCTTTCATGGCATTCTGATTTTCTACTAATATGGGAGAAAGTAAGCCTTCTGACTTGTTACTTAGAGAAGCTACATGTTTCGGCTTTATTCGACATCTATTTTTATTTAAAAACTTTTTTCATATTACCTGTTACCCTTTACTGATCCCCATAATTCTTTCCGGGGATGTTGAGAAGAAATTCATTACTGTATCTCGGAGACTATTAAAAGAATTTATCAAGGTATGTGGTGAATTTTAAATGTGATTATGAATATGGTATAGGATAGATGTTTGAAATTCTGCACACTATTAGTAATTGTTATTCTATCAGACACGAACCATCTACCTCATATTTACATCTTTCACCTTGTGTGTCTTCTGGTAGAACAAGACACTAGTATATTAGAACCTGTGCACCTAGGCAAAAGTATATGTATGCTAATATATTATTATTAGTGTCTAAGCTGCTTCTACTCATCAATGCTTTCTTTACTCAGTAAATCCACCACCTTGGACAATTTTGACGAACTGATTGTCTCCACCACTGTTTCTTCAATAGACTGAGGACTTCTTCACAGTGAATCAAAATGATGGTCATTTCGATTATTCTGTACCTAGTCGAACTGATTAGGCCCATTCAGATGCAGACACAGATAAAGCAGAGTTAGTGCATGATCAGAATCTAAGTAGGCACTTCTAACAGAATGACGACTGTTCACAGATCTCCTCTCCATAAATAACCAATGACAATAAGATCTATATGTCTCGATTATTTGATTAACATCGAGAACAATCAAGTCAAACATCTTTCTTAAAACATATAAAATTTGTGTTCCACTATGAAAACATGATTTGTTCATCTTAAATTTTTAACAAAACGATTACTGATATCAAATTATCAGTAGAATATATGTAAGTCGAACAATTACGAGGAATAGTGAATCAATTACAGTGATTTACTTTAGATTTTTGAACATATCAGTAAATTATAAATAATATCCCAATGAGTACAAAAATCAAGTTCTTTTTTTAATTTTCTGATGTTTCATGACCCAATGTAATCCACTTCTTCAATAAATTGATACTGATTAAAGTACTATCTTCAAAACTCTTAATCAGTTTTACAAACATACACAGTTAGATTATAAAAAAATTTTAATAATTCAAATCATGAATTGATCTTAGCTAGATCATTATTGAAAATCAACAGCATTGAACAATTATTTTTAATGGTGGTTTAGTTCAGATCAGTTTGTGATTTTCAACTATAAAGTCTTGACGATCTCCACAAAATTACTATACATAAAATAATTCTATCCTGACTAGTGATTAGGTTCAAGATACAACTCATGGAATTTTAGTGAGAAGCCATAAGCATCTGAGTTAAACCATGTTGAGTGTGAGATAATTGTCTTTTTTAAGTCATTGATATTACAAACGAAAGAAACAAGAACTGAGTTGAATAGTTATAAATTTATCATGTTAATTTTGCCATTACAATTTTGGAACACTTTTCACGGTGGCAGTGATAATACTCAGTCGTTTAAACTGGACTAGACAGAACAGCGTATGGAACTTACAAATCCATTGAGTAAAAGTCCAGGTGTTTAAACCACAGAAATCATCATTTTATGCTGAGAAACACTCATTGAGTTTAGAAAATAAAGGGAAATACGCTAGAACGATTTGTCATTACTGTGTGATAAAGGATGAAATAAAACTCAATGGGCTGGTGGTTTATAAGGTAAATGGATTGTGGTAAGCAGTGGAATGTAGGATGTGTGTTTCGTTCTATTCGGGACTCATCAGTTGCATATACATACAATGTAGTGTTAATATTTAAATGGATACATTCTGACGGCTAGTTACAAATACTACAAAATAAATTTTCTCCTGACTCCATTGCTAATCAAAATTCATTTATTCGATAAAACTTGTGACAAGATAGCTATTTTAAGATAATGATACGTCTTGTCGATGAAACGCTATATACGATTCCTAAGCTATTTCGGTAACCCGCAGTCTAGAACTACACAGTGACTCGAATTCCAGAGAGAAGACACAAGTATGAAAGAAAATATTTACTCCAAGGTTCATTTTTGTACAGAAAATCAAGGGTATTTATAGATGTTGGCGTTTGTTAAATCAACATTATATTTTCAGCCAATCCATTAACGTCATATTATGCTACCGACCAATAATAGCGCGCCACGCTGGAATTCTCGAACATTCTATCGTACTCTGATTGGCTACGATCCTTCGGCTCCTTTTTGGGCCTCTGCAGGCTCCGTTGAAGTTTTCCGGAAGCCGACTCAACAGATAGTTTGCTTTTTGATGGAGTTTTGTTCTCTGAGCTGGATGGTTTGGTCGTGAAGCTTTCATTAGAACGATGAAAGCTTCACGACCAAACCATCTAACTCAGAGAACAAAACCCCATCAAAATCACCCACCTGAGCTACAAATCTTCTCCACCATCTCAAGATAGTTTGCACAGGCAGCAGTAAACGGATTTCAACCAGCACGTTGTATATCGAGCCTCTTCATCACCTAATTTAGTTCTGATCAGCCAAATGGTGACATTAACCACTATTCATTTACACACACATACATAGCACCATTATATATTTATATGTATACATGTATAGCTATGGCTCGAAATTGAGTGCATAAACCTATGCACTTAATCAAAACTATAAATCAAATCAACTTGTTATGTAAATTTTTAACGACGATAGGTAAATTAGAGAGAAAAGAAATACTTATGATTATTAATAAGAGAGAGAGAGAGGAAAAAAGGCTAACAACCGCACCCAAAAAGTACTAATGACGCACTTGGAAAAATGTAAGGAGAAAAATAAGTAGTGGGCAAACAATAAAGACAATAATAAATAACTTGAATGTACTAGGATTGTCTGTCAAGTGAGTACGTATACACATACATACACACACACAATATATATATATATAATATATATTGAGACGAATTAAGTTTAGTGTTATTACTATTATGACAAGGTTACCAAAAGAAAACGATTTGGGCAACTAGCTATCATGTTGAAGCAAGATATGTTTATGTATGTGTGCATGTATGTATGTATGTTTAGATAGATAGATAGATGGATAGACAGAATATTGAAAATGTTCACATCCTAGTAAATCAATACAAGTAATGGTCCTAGTCACAGTAGTAGTATTAGTAGTGGTACTACTAGTATTAGTAATAAACGTTCTTTGGTCTGTCTTGAAAGAAGTTAATTAACGAGAAAAAGAAACAGTGAGAGAGATAATTGTAAAATATCCTACGGAATTAATAATCATAATATACTTTGTAGAAGATAGTAGAAAGGAATTGGAACAGTATGAAGTTGCATGGTACACAGACGACAATAGTTGAAAACTGTAAGAATTTAAATTTATTGTTTATTATTATTACTATTGCTCAGTCATAAACGACGTAGAACCCGGTACATATCTTTGATCAGTTCAGTCCGCCAGATGATAACAGCACAAAGAGATGAAATCATCCAAAAAATCCCAGATTAGTAGTAACGGTATTATTATTATTAATAATAGGAATGATTAGACATGGACAGAAAGAAGAATACATTTGTGGAGTAAAGTGTGTATGATAATTTTAAACTCAAGATCTAAAAGGAAGACGAAGAGTGAATGGATCTGCACTACTGTGACCGATTCTGAACCGTGCCAACTGACATTTTCATTTATTAGTCACGAAAATCATGAGGATTTCAATCCGGCAGTCTACAGCTGCCAATAAGGTTCAACGCAAAAATCAATAACTTTATGAACTGATACTTCGCATAACTTTGAATCCCCTCCTAGCGTGCTTTCAACTTACACCCATATCAGGAAATACTGCAGGCTGAGATACGCAGTAAGTGGTTGAACATGTGTAATATATAATATAATATAACCATTTCAGTCTAAGAAGATTCATAACCTCATCAATCGATTTACAATCTTTACGTAGTATCCTAGGTCTACGACAGTATTTTCCACTCAGTGGTCCTAACCTAATCAACTAGCTAATTATAATTTTCTAAGATGATATCAGTGCTTATGATGGAAATTCATCTCCTCAAGCTATACAGATATTTCTACTAGAACACCTTTAATAAGTTCAAATGAATTAGATCCTCACTACAACTGACAATAATCTATTGCATACCAAGTTTATCAATCAATTAACCGTAAAGTTTTATGATATCGAAAGTAATTAGATATTCTATATTAAACAGATAATGTATGGTTATTAATAGTATGGGGATTTTGGAGCTGTCTTGAGCTTTATTGAAATCATGAATTAATTTAAATTAGACAACCATTGAGAACCTTGAAGCACGGAATACTCTGCTTCATAATAATCTGTGAATATATGAATTAAAATTTAAAAACAAAAAATAAACCCAACAGGGTGTATAATTGCAAGTTATAAGTGATTGAATAAATGTACAATAGTTAATAAGGTCGATTGGTAGGTTCCATTTACATGATCTAAATGGGTTTAATATTACATTATTAATGACAATCAACATTATTCTGTCTTCCAGTGTGGATTCATTTAATGTATGAAGTAAAGGTATAAATGCCATTATAGATCATATTTCATGGCTATAGAGTAATACAGAGTAGATTACTGAGTAGTATACTCTCGTCTTCTTTGGTAAACAGGCAATTCTCCTTTACTACAAGTAGCAACAGTTTTTAACATTAACACATCAAAGCTGATGAAACTTCCAGGATAAATGAAGTGGTTAATGAGCTCAACAGCTTCATTTTCTATCAGTAGTTTAAAGGTTGTTGTAGATCAGTCGTGGAACGAGATTTTGCATTTAGAAAGAGAGAAAAGTATCCCAAACATTCTTGTATTGTTGCTCAAGACGATCAGAAGATTTTTCATTTTATCAGTCTTCATCTGAGCATTCGAATTCGATAAGCGAAGCTCTTGTGAGGAGGAAGGGCATGAAATTACAGCGAATAATTCAAATATTTATCAGTCTCAAATGTAGAATGTACAATATATCACTGAAGTTGGTTTATAATATCAACTGACAACAGCTAAGGAAATATGAGGAACGAAACAGAACTAGAAAGGTAATTTATTACAGCTGGGATGAACCAAGAACCTATTAATCTCAATCTCACAAATCACTTTTGTTTACTTCAACAATAGCAATGACAATAATAAATATATTCAATAATAACTGATTTCAAGATGGATTCCCGCAATTCAGTGGAAAGTAATGATGTGTGAACTTTAACCAAGTTAAAATTGTGACAAAAATATCAGCGATAAACTGAATGATTATTACTATACAAAGTACGCACTTACTCAAGTTATAAATATGCAAACAGTAGTATTCATTCAACTCAGTTATCTAAATGTATCATGTTGTTGCCAACAGATTTAAAAGTCATAAAATCGACTTCTAGCAATGTAACAGATTGCCATAAAGATAAGTAGAATTTCAAGCAAGACCAAATTAGCTGTTTAGTGTGCCCTTAAGCGTTACAAAATGTTTTTCATTCTGATAGTCTATGAAAATCGAACATTAAATTAAACAAATAAAATTTTCTCATGATCTAAAGTAAGTAATGATCCTAGCTAGACCACCATTGAAAATCTGGAAATACTGGACGGCCGTATCATCTGAGTGTAATACACTTCAGAAGTGCGCATCCACGACCTCAACAACGAGAATCAAAAGCAGGACCTCCATTCGCCTGTGCAAACGCTCAACTCTCTGGACTACTGAACCGGCATACAATGATTTACATGTCTAACTTAAATCAACCCACAATAGTGAGCAAGCATCTTCTAGTGTCTGCAATGGATAACTCCCTCACACCCGACATGTTTTGACTTCACCGGTCACGGGTTCTCTTTAGAACTACAAGAGTAGAATTTTGAAGTTAGTCATTAGTGAAGACAAGATTAATATCAGAAAATAAAATATTCATAAAATAGCAATCTATTCATAAAAATTTAACAAGTCATTAAAATGACTTACTTTCCCTTGTAAACTACCAGACATTACTTCAGATGGTCCAGACGGTTGTGCTTGTGCATGAGCTGTAATGTGTGCAGCTGTAGCCGGATCCAATGAATCCATTCCAGTTAATGTAGGCATTTTAGCTAGCGATGTATAAGGTGCTTCTCCAGCTAAATAAAAAAATTATGTTTTAGGTAAAACAGTGACTTCCCACTGTTCAAATAAAATAATTTGGAAAAAGTGGAATATAATTAAGTAGAATCCTGAGAAAACAAACCAATGAATTTCAGTGACCCTATAAATCAGTTGGAATCGATGGTCATGTTTGTCTAATCATTTAAATCTGTTGATTGAATTCTATGGATCAAGTTGCAATATGACCACCACGTTGAAATGTGTTTTGGAATATTCATCGGGAAACCTTAATTGACTAAATTTCCGTGCTAGTTGAACAGGTCAGGAGAGGATAGCTGCAATGTTGTGAGACCTAAGGGATTCTAACATATTGCTTTACACTCTGAGACACTACTATTGAAACACTATTTGGATTGCAAATGATATCTTGTAGGACAGATATTTACATTAATTGGTCACTGAGTCGTGGCCACTATTATATTAGTCTGGTTTTTCAGTGTTGATCGGATTTTATTGATAAGTTCTATTTATCAAACCCTAGAGTATTGTTAGCTGTCTCCAACCATCTAGAATGATCCACGTTGGGAACAGATTATCTAGAAGGGAATATAGTTAAACTCTAGATCATTGAACCGGCATCCAGTGGTTAACATGTCTAACTTCAACCAACCCAAAATCTTGCGCAACCGTTCATTCTTTGTCTGAGATGGATGAATGTCTCACATCAGACACGGACTGAACTTCATTGATCACGACTTATCACTGGAACTCCAGGAGTTACACGTGACTGCGAGGTCGTGGATGGTTACTACTGAGCAGTGCCTCACTAGGAAGAAAAGGCCGTCCAGTGCTTCCAGGTTTTCAATGGTGGTTCACTTCATATCAGTCCGTGATTTTGACGGTGAAAATACTATAATCTCCACAAATCCTCCATATCAATAACAATTATAAATTGTCACTGAATGAAATCTGTCAACTAATCTAGTGTGATAAAGTAATGAAAAACCTCAAAATATATGTCCATCGGTTAAACTTGTCACAGTATAAAACCAACACGGAGACATGAAAATATCAAGATAAATGACATAGCAGTAGAGACAGTAAAAGTATTCGCGATAATAGGGAGGCTTAATTATAGACAATATGATTCAAAAGAATGAATTTATGCAATAAAATGTGTAAATACTTTAGGGTAAAGAGTGAATAGATTTGCGCTATTGTGATCGATTCCAAGTCATGTACCCCAATATCTTTAAACGTTAGTTACGATAATCGAGTGTATCCTAAATAATCTTAACTTGATTCTACATAGCTCAATACAATAATGATATCATAGACTGATACTATAAATTATCACCCATGATAAATATCGTTTGACATCAATATTCAATGCACAATATGCTGTACATTGAAATTGATTAAATCCCCTCAAATTAACAGACTGTAATAGTGTTTGGATAGTGGCTAGCAGCGAAATCCAGGACGCACGTTTCTTCCTATTTGGGACTCGTCAGCTGGATGTACCTGAATCTCAGAGTTGACGTTCGCTCTGGGACTCGAACCCAGTACCATTCGCTTCAAACGCCATCGCGTTATCCACTCAGCTACTGAATCCTGATAGCCACTTGCTTGTGCAATGGGGTGAATTTGAATTCACTGGATTCCACTGCTAACCACTATCCATCATTGCTTACAAATAGCTTGTGAATTAAGGTAATATCGAGGTATACGCACAGTATGCACATATGCCAATAACAGACTGATCAATTGCAGTCTTAAACCTCAATGGGAAGATACAAGCCAAACAATACCAAGTGAATTGTACTAGTGTTTTGTTAAACAAACAATTATCTCCCTTTTGAAAATAACCTCAAATCTTAAAAACATAAGCTTTTATAATGTACAAAATGTAGTACAATCTAAGCTATTTTCATTTTCATTTTTCACGAAAATTTATCCGAACAAAATTAAAATAGACAAATAAAAATGGAATTGAACATTGAAATATTTCATCTTCCTCTTTTCTATATTTTCCCTTTCCTATGTATATACGTTTATCTATCTATCTATCTATCTACCAATCAATCAAGTTATCCAGTTCATCAAACACCCATAACAATAACAAGAAAACAAAAAAGACAGGAAAATCAAGGATAAGCAAATATTCATGCTGTGCACTTTAACGAAGTACAAATAGAAATTGATTTTGACAATAGAATACTAAAGCAATTATTTTTGCATTATCGATTTCACGTCAAATATATGATTAAAAGATAGTGAAGAATTAGTAGTCCATTAGTAAAAAATGATGATGATGTGGGGATTTAAGAGAAATGTTAGATCCGAATCATCAAGGATTTGGATTTATTCCTTAAAAAAACCTACCTTCATTACAGAAGTGGATGCCTGGAGAGGAACATAGCTGAATGTTTTGGTAGTGTTGAGAAAATGGGGAGAGTTATTTCTCCTCTTTGAGACACTCGCATGCGGTCGGACATTTATATCCTCTTTCAAGGAAATTCCACAGACTGTCTTCATTAAGTATGAGTGTTTCCTCAAAAGCGAGATTATGGTAAGTAAATACCGGATGATTCAACCTGGCTGGTAGATACAGTGGACCTCAACCTGGGAGTTGAAAAACCTCGATTCCAAAACACTATTTCACATGACGTATGAATCTATTGTAGTCACTGCTTACCACAGAGTTGTATTTCTCTACTTTATATCACTGTTTTGTGAACCGGGAGAGGGCCCTAGCAAAACCACCTGCCATAGTTTTGATGTCCAGATGATATCCCACCACTTAAAAAAGTATTGATTTTCTCAACAAATTGAATTAGTGATAGAACTCATTAGTTTGTACAATACTAGTCATCAATTATATAATTATTCCATGAAGTCTGTCTATCTATTTATCTTTTTTCCTATTCTACTACTGTTGGACTGATTTTCTTTGAATTAAAAATCTGAATCTTCAAATGCAACCACTTTGAATGATTCCCTTATAAGATAAAATTCCATTTCGCCTATTAAGTTAACCAATGAACCAATCAATTGACTAATCAATTATTAATTGGTAATATCTGTTGGCTATGATTGTGTGTGTATGTGTTAGTGGAGTTGATTACTACTAAAGTATAACAACTGATTGGCTTCATTTTTTGTTCAATAAAAGAATTCATTTTATTTCGCAATGGGACAGACACTAATACCATTATGTTAGATGAGTGATTGTATCTTCTACATGTTAAGTTAAAATGATTATTCAGTAAATTAGTGGAGCCGTAATAATAATAATAATAATAATAATAATAATAATAATAATAATAATAATTAAATCAATGAATTTTTCGACTACTTAATTGCAACTTTTGAGCTCGTTGCCGATCGGCCTGTTCCAAACAGTCAGTGAAGCTTAAACAATAAGAGAGAAACTGATGTTGTTCAAAGCTAAGTAAATAAACTTGGATTACTAAGAAAATGAAAGCCACCGAACACAAGACATGTGTTTCAGCTTAGTATAGGACTCTAGAATTTGTTATCCACCGATGGGATTGCAAGATGGTTGCTCAATATCGAAAACTTATTGAAACTAGAAAGATAAACCAATGGATAGTGATGCAATGCTATAAAGGCTAAGTACTCGTCAAAAAAACCTGAAGCCTCTGGATTCTGTCCCTTGTGTGATCGTGGGTTTGCATCAGAGATAAGTCCCATACTATAATGAAGAATTCGTACAATTCCTCCTGGTTTTTAATCCCTACAAACTCCTTATGTTAATTTAAACCTAAGACTATGTAACAGAATTCAAATACATTAGAAAGTTATTGAATATGTTACAAACCATAAGTAATGAATAATGAAATTTAGTTAGATACAAACTAAACATATTTTTCATAGTATTTTATTTTGATTAACAACTATAGAATTCAGCATTACGTCAATATCTATTTTTTATTATTTAGTCGAAAACAGTATGATACAAATGTGTATCAGTTCAATTTGACATTGTTTCCTAATAATACACAAAAAAAGGAAGTGTTTAAATATTAATATTGTTCAATGTTATCAAAATCAAATATTTTGATTATATAGATTTTGACAAAAAATAGAGAGGAATGAAATGATTAAAATTCTTTAGTAGAGATACAAAATGAAGAAGGTTTAAAAGATAGTAAATAATGAACATGTCTACGGTGGCGTTGCAATCAATATCAAGATATGTAATCACATGGTGCATTTGACCAATGACTTGCACTATCACGTGAACTTTAACTACAAAGGTTACATTCCGCATTATGTTTTAACTAAATGATATTTAATTTCAGGGACTGGTGGCAAATTTGGATTTGGCTGTTCATCATTTCCTGTAAGTGTAGTCTTGAAGTGACCAATATTGTATATGAGTGTAATAGTAGTTTGGTGCGTATGGGCATAACTTATGCTTTATCCATCCCAGTCGACGAACGATTACAGCTTTATTGACCGATATACTATATTAGTGTTTGTGTCGGCCACCTGGATTGATTTATATTATTTATTGGTATGCTCACATCTAGAAGCACATGAACCTTTTTTATTCAGAAAATGTCATAAGTGTATGAAATTGAATAAAGAAACACTATTATTATGACGTGGAAACTGACTGACACAAAATGTTGGCATAACTGATGATGAACAACGCATTATTTGACAAAAAAAATAATAACAATTTGTATAGTGATGTGAAGGCGGTTCAATTTCATTGAGATCACGAACTGATCTAAGTTAGGAAAATATTGAAGACCTCTGCAAGCAATGTGCGACCGTTTTGCTCTGGTACATGCGACTCCTCAGTAGTGTGCATCCACGACCCCACAATCAGGAATCTAACAATTTCCACAGCCCCATACTGTAAAATGTCGTGTGCTCACTGATAACTAACTTCGATAGGAAATTTTCTTGGTTCTAGTAGGAAACCGTGAGCAGTGGAGCTAAACTGTGTCAGAGGTGGGGAAGTTACCCATCAAATGCAACGGAAGATCACCGCACAATATCATGAATTGATTAAAGTTAGACTTGTACACCACTGGATGCCGGCTCAGTTGTCTAGAAGTTTTGCCTTCGCATGCGACAGCGATGATCCTGTCCTCGATTCCTAGCGTCGGGCTTGCGAATGGGCACTGATGAGGTCTTATTCTTGGACGGAACGGTTATTCAACGCTTCCACTTTTTTAATGGTTATCTAACGTGGATCGGTTCTTGGTTTCAATCAAATAGTTTGACAAATAAACAATTCATCCTGGAACGAATTTTTAGATTCCAACGGAATAACTTCGTGAGAGGTTAGAATCAATGGCTTGAACACAATTAATAATAATAATAATAATAATAATAATGATAATAATAATAATAATAATAATAATAATAATAATAATAATAATGTGGTATAAAAATTGCTAATTACATGTAAAGAGTAGTCAACATTTTTTTACACTGAATAAACATAAACTATAAATGTATGTTCCATGAACACAGATTTTCTGCCGTTTTTTGATCTACCGATGGATCTGGTCCACAGTTTACATCATGAACTGACTTTAGTTAAACGACCATTGAGACTCAAGAAACACATGACAGCTTATTCGTCCTAGTATAGGACTCTTCGGCATTGTGTACACCCACTATCACATGGGATATCGGAACGAGGACTTTCGAGTCACTATAAGTAAGTGACTAATCTCCGACTACTGAGTTGGCATCCAATAGTTAAAAGTTATGACTTCAGTTTATCAAAATTGAAAAGCGAACGAGTTATTCGGTTGAATTTTTGTCCATTAGTTAGAATATCAAATACACTTGAAAAATTTAATCTTTATCCGTTAAAACACATGGATTAAAGTATTAAGCAACAAATCAATAAATTTCTATGGAAAACAATAATTTTGTGATATTACCTTTTTCAACATCTTTTGCTGAATGTCGTTTGCCAATATCTGCTAATGATCGAATCAATGGGAGATTTGTTGCACTACGACCAATAAGTTTCGGTCGAAGTCGTTCATGTAAATGAACATGACGACGTAGTAACACATCGAATAACAGATCTCTTTGATCTAACGGTAAACGGTCTTCGGATATTAATAAATTTAAAACTAAATCTATAAATGATAAACAATGGACAGGAGTTAAGAGAAATATACCCAAAATAACAACTAATAAGTATATAACATAGAGTTTACATGATTCATTTAATTTAACAAGGAAAAAAGTATATTCAAAATATAACAACACAATACAAATCGGCGTAAAAGGAACTTTGAGACATAGAAGCATTGTGAATAGGTAAACAATATTGTAACAAAAATTCAAACATATGACTCGTTTAAAAATCAAGTCTTCGAGTCAATCAATTACAAATTCACATAATACATAACATGTAATTATATTGTAAATGACAAATTAGTTGCATGTATACACATATATATAGACATTTTACGAGTTTCATAAAAGTTTTGTTGTTGTTGTTGTTGTTGTAGATTGAGTCATCAAAAACCTTAGAAATTGGCTTGACAACATCTTTTTTCTACGATCGATAAGATGAAAAAAATCCTGTGTATCTGTGTACGTAACAACATGACATTTTCAAAATGTTACTTCCTATTCTATGATTATCTAATTATAATCTATTAATCAGTCAATTAATTCAACTATTATTTGACTATAATAAGTTTGGGAATATTTTCTTTACTGGAAATACACCAAGAAGTAAATGGAATTAAAAAACCTATAAGTGTTTTTTTTCTTTTCTTGACGTAGATTAAACAATGTTAGAACAAAACTTAATATTATGTGATATCCTAACCAATTCTAATAATGCTTTAATGGTTTATATAAAGTAGAAAACGTGATTTATTTAATGAAATGTAACGACTACGTAATCATAAATTGCGTAGTCATAACACATCATATAGGTGATTGTCCTACGCATCACAAGACCCGATAATTTTATATATATATATATATATCTTTGAAGTCAGGCAGTCAAATACACGTACAACCTTTAAAATATCATAATATAATTGACCAGTCTTTTTTGAAGCTTTCCATTCATTCTTCTCCTTATACACGTTGAACAACATTTGTATTATTATCACTCACACTATTCACATAACTTAGTATAGTAATTTTTAGTAATATGTTGTTATTGTCCGTTTATATTTTCGTACAGAGCCAAGCTTTTGAAATTAAGTTAACATGTGTTAGATAGTTGGAGGCAGACAGAAAGAAATTCTAAGTTTCATGCTAGTTAGTACATAACAGTTTGGCAAATATTCAGTCTTGATGTATTTGATGTTCCCTGTGGGACCCAAAGACGCATCACCCAGCTTCATAGTCTGAGACTTCACAAATGAGCTACTATTCAGGTTGGAGCTGACCCTTTATAGGATTGAGATATTTACAGTTGGCTGATCATTGAGTAGTGACTAATATTATGATTTTCTAGTCCTCTAGTTCTGACTTGATCTTGCTGATCAGGTTACATTATGAATGGCATAGGTTTGAACTCCACATCAAGCATTAGTTATCTCAGAATTAAAGGCAAACCTTGATAAATAGTACTAACCAACATAAAACCCAAGTCAATACACGGTTCCCCACTAACTACTTTCACAACTACCTAACATTAAAACATAGTGTACACAATGTCGATACACTTAGACTAGCGATCATATTGCAATGTACATCCTAATAATAAATTCGTTGGAAGTACATCTCTTTACTAAATTCTGTAGTTGTTGTTTTTTTAAATTTTATAATAGAAATGACAAAACTATCGAAAAGCCAACGATTTGTTTTTAAAACCCTTCTTAGCAAAAAGTATTCACTAATGAACATTTAATCCATCACAAGACTATTGATGCATATTCAAGACTAATGTGATTAATTTCCCAGATACACAAGATTTCGCATATATATGGCTCATCACTATGAGAAATGAAGTGATAGTGATATTTATTAATTTATAGATTGGTCATTTTAAACTAAAAAGGACTTATCATCTAGTTGTACAGCTTGTTTGAATCTTTTTGTTATTGATGCTAAAGACTGCAATTGATCAATCTCTTATTTTTGGCTTGTGTATATCGTGAGACGATTCCCTCAATATTATCATCAAGTCACAAGTATTTTAGGCACATCTAATTAGTGGCCGACAATGGAATCCTGGATATAATGTAAGAAGCTAGTTTCCCATCTCGGACAAAACCAATCAAATAGTGTTGTGTACTTTGATGACAAAATTAATTCTAAAATGACTACATTTCAAAGATACACTTTAGACATTGATCAAGAAAAATTATTTAATCAACCCGATTAATCGGTCAAAAATATAGAATATGAAGACTATATGTATTAAACGGTTATTCAGAATCAATTCCAAACAAACTAGACTATTGATAGTATTGAAATCCGGGATGTATTTTACACATCCTATTAAAAAACTGTCACTTAAAAATCTATATTTGCCATATTTTTGTGTTGATGTTAAGGAACTCTTACAAACATGGGTAGTGGCTAGCAGTGGAATTCAGGACGCGCGTTTCGTCCTGTTTGGGACTCGTCAGCTGGATGTACCTGTATCTCAAATTTGATGCTCATGCTGGAACTCGAACCCAGAATCATTCGCCTCAAACTCATACAAAGTGAAATAATAGTTGAGAAAACCAATTTCTAAGTCGTCTTTTCGGTATCAGATACATTTTAACATTTAAAGCCACATTATTTAATGAGATAAATTGAAACATTATTGTTCTGTAAATTCACTTGGTATTATTTGCTTAAATCTCCCCATTGATGTTTAAAACTACAATTCATCAGCCTCTTATTGATATATGTGCATATTGTGTGTATTGCCTCGACATTGCCGTAGTGATTATTTAGATGGTGGTTGGAAGTAGTCAACAGGAAACCCTGGACCCGGGTTTCGTGCTACTTGGCACTCGTCAGTAAGGTGTACCTGTAATCTTGAGGGAACTGGTACTCCCTGGCAGATTCGATCTCGTTTCATCCAGTTTCACAGTCAAAGACGTTAACACTGAGCTATCCGAGCCGCGACTAACCTCCTGTAGGACTGAGATGTAATCGCAATTGATTGATCACTGGGTTGTGATCAATGTCATGCTTGTCTAGTCCTTATTAGTGCAGATCGAATGCTATCGATCATGTTGCAATGTGGTCACCAGTCTAGGTGACTCGACACTGCGAGCACTATATATTGAGAATTAGATGGTAGTTGGGGGGGTAGTCACCTAGACTGGTGGCCACATTGCAACATGATCGATAGCATTCGATCTGCACTAATAAGGACTAGACAAGCATGACATTGATCACAACCCAGTGATCAATCAATTGTGATTCGTAGTGATTATCAACTCTGTAATGCAGGTACACTCAAATGAGGAGTCACAAATAGGACGAAATGTGTGTCCTGGATTCCACTACTAGACATTATCCATCTTTGTCATTGTTGTATTATTCAAATTTTTTTGAAACAATAAAGACTGAAATTTAATTAACTTGGAATAAATTAACTTACTATAAAATGTCCTAATCATAAAACTGATTGATTTGTTTACAATTAATAAATATAGCTATTAGATCAGTGACTTGTATTTCGATCAATGATTCCTGTTACTATTATTATTATTACTATTATTATTATTATTATTATTATTATTATTATTATTATTATTATTATTACTATGACTGAAATACAAATGACCTTCTACATAAAAACATGTCAATACATTTTACAGCACATGTACTACACTTTCCAAGCTGTTATTATCAAGTATTCATATGGATATAAAGATGATGTTCTTTTTAAATTAGTCCATTAAAGTTTTACTGATTTTGATTCAAGCCAAATTGATAAGTAGAAATAACATGAGATAAATATAGATGAAAATCAACTGTATATTATACAGATACTCTAATTATCAGAAGGGGTTTGTGGAGATTCAACTGACTCATGATTTAAATCTGTGAAGATACTCTAATTATTGAATTATAATTAATCACTTATTATTTTCTGTATAAGGGATTTGTGGAGATTGTAGTATTTTTCACAGTCGAATTCACAAGTTGATCTAAACTAGACCACTATTGAAAACTTAAGACAAAAGAGCCGTTCAGTGCATCCATGTTTATAATAATGTCTACCTTGAATCCAACTGTGAAAATTAATATTATTTTGTCTTGCATAAAAAGTTGACTACTAGTATAAGTAGTCAGTCAGTCAGCAAAAATGTAAAACTTCATACGTACGTACAACAGTTCGAGTTACCACACCACATTAGAACATTGATACAATTGTCGATTCAAAATTCCATAGTGGTAGAAGTGGTAAAATTAAAAGCAGTAATCGGAAAGATCAGGGTTTGAAGATGTTATTCAAGAAGTATAATTCAATGAAATAAATTTGGAAAGAGAAAAAAGAAAGGGACATGAAGAATTCAGAAGATTAGCATTTGGAAGAACACAAAAAGTGGATGCACCTGCGCCATTGCAAGCGATTTTCAGCCATGTCATTCACAGTCTCTAACCATCTTTTGCTATCATCTCACGCATCCCAACCAGGTAGTCTACACCTACCATCATGACTCAGTCCACTTGTCACTGACTTCATGGTACTGTGACATGTTTTGATCTGACCGCCTCTAGCTTTTTTCCAACCTACTACTACACCAGAAAACATCGCACGTCGAGGCAGTCGGTGGTTGGGCATACGTAACACGTGTCCCAGCCATCTCAACTGATAAAGTTTCGCTACTTCATCAATTGATTTGCCATCCTTACACAAGTTGGCAAGAGTTAGTCGAGCCTTCTGTGTCCGTACTGAGATTTCGCCACACACCAGAACAAAAGGGCTGATGAGACTTCCAAGATAAGTGAAGCGGTCGACACGCTCAACTGCTTCACTCCCTATCATTAGTTCAGGTGTCGATGCAACCCAATCCTGAAGCAACATTTTGCATTTCCAGGAAGAAAATTACGTCCTGAACATGCTTGCAGTGTTGCTTCTAGGGCGGCCTGCTTGAGCATCTGGGCTACCTGTTCCTGCCATCTAGATATTTCAACAAGTTTTCTATTGTTGTTTTGTTTTAATATATCATTATGTTTATTAATCGCATAACCTATTCTGCTGCGTTTCTGAAAAGTGTACAACCTTTCGTTGTCAAAGTTACAGAAAACTCAATAAGAGACAATATGGTTGCTGGCAATGTACGACGAAAAGAATGTACATTATTCAGTTGTTCATTCACTGAAGTGCTAACATCTAACTGGCGATTCCTCAATATTTATCGCCAGGACCGACTAAGAAGAAAGAAACGGAAACTTGTTGAAATACTTTGCGCTGAGAATTCTATATTGTACCAAAATTATAATATTGAATAAAGCTAATAATAATAATAATAATAATAATAATAATAATAATAATAATAATAGAGTGGCCAGAAGGCTCTGCATTTTGTCAGCATAAATAGTTAATTGGTTAATCAATCATAAACAATGTTGGGTCCAGAATAAATTAACCTCAGTTGTAATACAATAACAGGATAAATCACTTGTGATAAAAATCTAACAAGTTAATGAAATAGCCTTAAATTATCAATGATACTGAATAGCTAAAGAAAAGAGAAGTTGGTTTAGAAAAGGAGAGCACTGTAAGGCTGTTTTGTCCTAGTATGGGACTCCTCAGATTTTCAGTGGTAGTCCAACACTGTACTATTCATGATCTCAATAAAAGATTATCAATTGACTGGTCATTCTTCATCCAGTATCCTACTCTTAATATCAGTAGTGTAAAGAAAAAGTGCTTATCAAAATTTGGATCAAGAACGACGCAGAACAAAATATATGAGTAGTTATGGTCCATTTTGAAGAGTCTATAAAGTCAGCCAAATTCATGATGAGGATTTTGAAAAACTACTTCTCGGTTTAGTTTATTTTAGGGAAGATATTGCATGTTCCAATTGAAATAATATTAAAATTAATAAAACAAGCACCTGAAACTATTTGACTTGTAAAACAATTTGATATAGTCCCGTCACGTTATGTAGTCGGCTGAGTCTGATACTTATTTGTACACTTCCTGTCTGCTGACCCAAACTAGCTGCTTGAATTGGTAAGGCCGAGTGTGATTAGGAAGCTTTTATTAGCTAACACGATTAGCAAATACATACATAAACTAATTCCTAAATATATATCGTTTTATACCGGAAATTCTAAAGCCGCACTTTCAACCAATAGACTATGTCTTTCTCCTTAGAAAGTGAAACCAAGATTGTAGATACGAACTCACGTGGAGTACCGTACTAAAATGAATCGGCTGTCTAATTTTACAGGTTTTCAATGATGGTCTAGCTAGGATCAGTTCGTGATTTAAACTATAAAGATGTAATTAAATTGACTGATACAACAAAATACTTTTATTATTTTGTACACGTTACAGGATAGACCATAATTAGCTAAAGACTTTCTATTCAAGTACATTGAAAAACACCTATATAAAGAGAACTAGGCTTTCGTTTTGAAGTAAAAATATAGGTTAAAAGTAAACTTAAATATATCAATGAGATTACCTGCAATTTGTTCCATGCTATAACTTTCCAGATTCAACATAATTACTCCACTTGCCAGACAACTGCGTAGTTCAAATACAGAGAATAAAGGTAGTGTAGCTACATGTGGCTTAGACCAACGTTCTCCATTTTCTTCCACATCCTCTTCAAATTTAATCCATCTTTAACGAAAACAAAAAAGTATGAATATGTAAATAGAAATCTTGGTTCATGCAAAACAATTCAAAATAGAGACATGACGTAACCGGAAAATAAAGCTACATTCTATGTTTTGAATGTGAAAATTCAATCTTATGATATTTTATTTCCTTACCGATTGATATGAGTTTGCAAAAACTGATAGCAATAGATAAATGATAGTTACCCTATCATTCTTTAAGACTGATTAGTAACATTTAAGTATCAAGATTAAAACCTTGAATCATCATGATCATATTCTTTATGGCATTGATAAACAAAAATTCAGGTTCGCACCACAAGTGGTTAGGAATTTATAAACTTATTTGATCACTTGATTATTAATTAAATACCATATTCTTATTGCAATCTTTCTTTTATACATTACCACCTTTGAATTAACTACTTTTATGAATCCGGTGTCCATCTTGTTGTGTTAATGAGATATGGCAACTTGAACCGATGCATATATGTGCCTGGTTCTACGTTGTAGCTGTCTGACTTATCTCAAAATGATTCTTTAAAAACGAGAGTGAATACGAATTTTCTCAAAAAACAGACTAAAAAATGCTCATGTTTACACTTTTACAATATTTGGATAATAGGAGTAAGGACATTGTTACAAAATAATAATTAAAATTACTTATGCCTAATATTGGGGGGATCATTTGTGGAAACCATATTTCGATAAAACTCCATTAATTCAGAGTTCAAAATTAACGAAAAGTTCTAAAAAACATTGATCCGTCATAATGTAAACTTTTTCAGAAAAACATAAAAGGCAACATAATCAATATTGGGATCTGTTTTATAGTGAGTACAAGTTGTATAAATAACGTTTAGACTCATATTTTTATGATAAGATGTTGTGAGGATTATCAAAGTTAAATTGTTATGTCACAAACTGACAGAAATCTGAATACCACTGAAAACCAGAAAGTACTGGATGGTTGATTCGCTCTAATATAAGAAGATCCCATGGTGTCCATTCACAATCCGAGCAGTGATCAAACTCATGAACCCCAGACTTTGATGACAGCGTTTAACTCTCAGACTACTAAGTTGGTTTTACATTGGTTTGCATTCCTAACTTCCGTCAATTCGTGACATTGTGTGATCATCTTCTTTTGTCATTTGTGATATTTATCTAACACTAGATATGATTTAACTTTATGGTCATGACTTCTCACTAGAACCACCAAAATTACCTCTCAACGTAATTCATTAGTAAGTACGTGATGATTGTTATTACAGGGTGTTATAGAGTTAGTTGAATTTAGATTTTGATATTACAGATCAATTCTAGTTAAACAATCATTAAGAACTAGGAAGCACTAATTCGTTTTCTATGTGAGTTCTTACGAAATATAATTCTGTAAATATGGATAAAATAGGTAATAATAATAATAGACTGACCTTGCGGCTTCTCGCCATTCGGTTTCACCTGATCCTGATGGGTCATTCCATAGTTCATCTAATTCACAGAATAACTGATGTGTTTGCTCATCATCACCATCGCATTCACCAAGTAAAAACATTACATGTTCACTTGGATTTGTAGCTGTAAATAGGGAGGAAAGAGAAAGCAAAAACAGTTGGCTGTTACTCACAGTGATATGAATGAACGTTTAAGTATTAGGATAGTATTTCATGCAAATTACATAGCCACTATAAACATATGCTTCTGACTGATAATATTGTGTGAATTTTCTTTGTAACGTATACAATGAAATATCGGATTATTGGGTTGATATTAAATTTCTGAAGGAATATAAGTAGGAATATTTAACCTTGCTTAAAGTGATTGGTTCGTAGATACTTCAACCTCAAGAACGATTATAGTTTTCTTAAATGTTCAGTGCCACGGTCAAACAAGTTATCTTTGAAGTAAACTAATTACCATTTAGCATCTGAATTACAATATAAAATCCATACGTGTTTAACATCTATTTGATGTTCAGAAACTACCATACAGGAGATTACCCTTAGATGCACTCTGAGAAGCCGACATACCAATAAATTACATAGGTCATTTACCAAACCAGATAGTGAAAATGGAATTTGTAAACCACCTTTGTCAGTGTCTAACTATGAAGTATAAATAGCGACAGCCAAATCACAAACGAACTCTGTACAGTCGAATTCATAATATCTTGAGAGTTGATAATAAATAACTTGATCAAATTTTGTTGAATACATTGTATATCATCACCCGTTTTAGCTGTTATTTAGTATAAGGAATTGCATCTCCTCTTACTGGATTGATTGCTGATGATCTTTCAGTAAAAGTGTATAAAGCTTATTGCCCTGGACTTTCCTGTGCTCACGAATCTATGTTTTGTTTATTTGTGCTAATATCTAACGTGAATCTAGAACTTTCATACGAAATAAATACTCTTTCAAGATTCAAGAACTTTATTCATCACAAAAACATAAAGCGATATCGCATATGTAATTAAACACAGAAAAGCCATGCGAGATAAATTGGCGTAGGGTTATAACGCAATTATGAACAAAATGTGAAATGCAACCATCTATTAAACACTGATAGTTGACTAAAAGTAATCAAACTTTAAATATATACAACCGGAAAAATCGTTTAGCTAAGAAATGGCAGGAATTGGTAAACCATGAATGCAACAGTTTTAATGTAATAGACTACAACTTTATTTTGAAACCATTAAATATACTAAGTAGAACTTAGCTAGTTTTTATCAATAAATGGGTAAAATACAGAACCTTTCTGTTTGAAATTGAGAAACCATTTACACAATCACCATTCAGTCATAAAAAGGCACATATATTTGTCCAGATACATCATTCTTGAACATGAACTAATTAAAAATAATCAAAACTTACGAAATGCTTTTGAACTTTCCTCCCTTGTGCTGTTTGTACCGATGCGTTTACGTCGTCGACGGTGACGATGAGCTGAAGGTCCTGATGCAATTCCTTGGGGGAACTGTGACGTACTGAGCGTAGCTATGTCATTGTTTACGGATAATCCAGCTATCATAGACAGCTTAGACCGATGATCTGAAGACAAAGAAAATTGGATCAAAAGCAGGTCTTTAATTTTTAAAAACCTATCAGAGAATACACGACAAGATAATCGGGGGAATATAATCCAAAAATCGTTTCAATGATTTATAGTAGTGAAGTTTTCAGTTACTGAACTTATCTGTCAAATTTTAATAGTTGCACATTTTCGGTTTGTTTGTGCAACAAAATTGTTTTAAAATATTCCGTAGTATTTCCTAGATTACTAACTTCCTTCGGGAGTCTTCTGGATCTAGTTTCCTAGTTGTGTGCTATACAAATAAACATTATATATATATATATATATATATATATATATATATATATATTGTGTGTAAGTGGTCCTTTCTAATCTCATAATACGTCGTGTATGTGTATTGCAGTTCGACAAAAACATTATTTGTAAATAAGAAGTTCACACAACGCGAAAGCTCTGGTCGTAGACCATAGTATCTACGTATAAAACGTTTTTCAAAAACTAAAACCTCTATTTACTTTGATATACGCTAACATTTAGACTACGAAAACAGAAAAACATCTAAAAGTAACAAGATTTGGAAAGTTCGCTATGCTCTGAACTAAGTGGTAAGTAGCACAATCATAAAAAGGCAAAACTTTGCTAAATGGATTCAGAGAATCAGTACAAATTAATAGGTGGAAAATTTGAGAGTTATTGTCCAAACTGGTTTTAACAGTGTAGATAGTGCCGTTTACATCAGTGTAAAAGGAATAGCAGTAATAAATGAGTTACTATCTTGCGTTGTAAAGGTTTCTTCACTTCGCCTCCTTACCGCTTTTTTCATATATTTAATTATTGAGTCAGTCAGTCAGTCAGTAACAACGTAGAACTTCGTACGTACGTACATCAGTTCGAGTTGCCACACCCTGGCAATTCACTTATTTAGTAATTTACCAGCCGTCAGTTATCTTACCCATTTGATACGTTTGATGAGTGAGATATATCTTCAAACTCTGACTTTAGTGATGCGCTCAACCGAACTAATTGGATTTCCGTGACAAAAGTATTAAATTAACAGGAGGAAAATAGTGAGCTTATGCGTTATTTAAGCTAGTTTTATTCGACAAATATTATTCACTCCATTTTTTGGTCAAAATCGTTAGGATAGCCTACTGATTCTGCCAGTTATAAGGACATACGTGCACCGTTTAAGGTTGTTACAGTATACTAGCACAAAAACAAAATCATAAAAACAAATCAAGAGAAGCAGTGGTAATAGCACTACCAGTGGTAGTAAAAAACACTGGGGAAAGACAATATGGTTTAGGAAGAATGAGTTCACAGAGTAAAAAGCAGAAGATAGTCTTAAAACTCAGCATCTCATGGGGAGGAAGGGGGAATGCATGTGTGAAGTTACTAAGTTACTTAGTTAACAGATTTTAACTTCATACACTGGTCTGATCACTGCAAAATATGCATGACGATCTGTCAGATCCTTGCTCTAATTTAGTGTATTGCATCTGAGTGATATGGTATTTATTCAAGACTATATATATTGGATAGTTTTTGAAAACGCCGATGAAATTGTGCAACATTTAAAGTTCATTAAACCAGTGTTTTGTTATTTTTTTAATATAAGGTCTATGATGCAGCTAGGTAGATAGTCCCAATAAAACATCAGACTATTATAAGCCACCAAGCAAAATGGCTGGAAGCGTTAATTGCTTTATGCCACATTTAAAGCTTTAACATATTATTAACTGAGTATTTTTCACTGAGATTACGATCACAGTAAGTACTGAGAACGGGGGAACAACATTACAAAATGGTGCTCTTAAACACATATATGATTTTGCAAGGAACATATTGAAATGCAAATTTTCGATGTTTTGTAACAGAACGTTAACGTTGTTGAGGTCAAAATATCGATCTTCAGAAGGGTTTAATGGGGTAGTTCGAACTAAAACAATAATTAAATCGGATGGCGATATCAGACAAGATTGTGACATCTTCGGTTAGATTACATTATGAATAGCTTTTTGCAAGGATTGAATTGTTATGATCACATCCAGTGGTAAAACACAGAAGACGAACTCTGTAACTATTATTAACGAACGGCAAAATAGATTAAGTGTACTATTTAAGATGTTGCCAACTAATTAGTTCCTGCTCAAGTAGGAATATCTATCAGAAAACAATGAAATCACAAGAGCAAGGTGCTCCACTCTAACTCCATATAATATAAGAAACATAACAGGAGATAATTTCAACATAATCATACCTTCGATTTCATCTTGAGAAGGTTCGCCGATATTACACTTTACTTTTGAGTCAAGGATTGGCTCATCACTCAAGTTTCCAGGCTCAGACATGAGACTTTGCGAATGAATTATGCCAACATGTGATCACTTTGAACGTTTATAAACTGAAAGAACCATAGACTCCTCACCGACAAAAACGCGCACTAACTGCTTAAACTGAACCAATCACTATCAGGATGACCTCCGATCTGAATAGCTATTTGTTGTTCGAAGGTCCTTGAAAAAGTTAAAAAAACAATGTGATATCATAAAACAAAATACGTGTACTTGAAAAATTTTGATTTGTATGTAGCTTGAAGATCCTGATACTATTTGCGAATTATTCATCCTCCATTTCTCTTAACGATACGACACAAAAATAGAAACATCTACCGATACTTTTCCAATGTTGATATCTGAGCATTTATCATAAGTTGATTTCATATGCACCAACATCAAGTAGACCATAACTGCTCTGAAAACGTTCTATGACGGTGTACCTGACGGTATTCCTGAGCTGTCCATGAAACGTAATGGCAGAGAATTTCCATAGACTATGTAGCCTATCCATCTGTATGAAAAGCATCGCTTATAACCCCTGGATTTAAAGACGGGATCACGTGGCGATAATGCTAACTATTAGAGAATTAACTAGACTATTGCGTTTTCAAAAATCATTGGAAAACAACTCATAAACAGTTACTAACAATTTTACTTTCGGCTTGTCTGATTGATCCATCTCAGCATGACTTTATGACTAAACGTTAATGCTCCACATCCAACTTGAAATGTTTTGGTGAAATTACCCAAAGAATAAACGTCAGTCAATCAGTGATAAATCTGTACTTTTATTTGATGAGACTTTCTACAGCCCCTACCGAAAACTTCTAAAAATTTCTTCATTTGACATATGGAATCCCCAATTTATCATGGCTCAAATCCTTTTTAGCAGAACGTAGCCAAATCGTTCGCTTTGGACCTTGCAACTCTGAACCTATGGATGCAACCGGTGTGGTTATACAAGGAAGCGTGACTGACAGGTCACTCTTTCTTTCTTTGGTCAGTGACGTGTGCTCACTCTTTCAACACAACAAACCGTTACTTTTTGCCGAGGACCTAAAAGTAGCTTATTCATTCTCAACTCTTACTGAAGAAAAGTGCATTTCAGTGGTAATCCAAAAAGACATAAACAAGTTATAATAATGGATTGTGTCGTGAGATCCGTCACCGAATGTTGTTTACGTCGGCCGAAAACTAATCCTAAATTTTGCTATACAAAAACACACTGAAACCTCTCAACTCTGTTTATGACTTGAGTTTGAGGTACAGCATCAATTTGAACTTCTCCGATTGCATCTCAAGTATCCAAAGCAAGAAAGCTCGTTGAATTTATAATTATAAATTACAATAACAGTGAAGCCAGATACTACACAAAAACATATTACCCATTATTGATTATGTGATTGTTTGCAGTAACTGTAAACATAATGATTACAACCGAAGATGTCTGAAACTCAATTTAGGACCTCCATGGATTAGGCGCATTAAATTAACCTTTATCTTTATTTACCGGATTATAAATGGCACTTCTTACTCTTCGGCATTCACCTCTTCGTATTATGTCGTGTCACAATATAATGAATAATCTATCGATTACGAGAGCCCACAAAAAATTACGTCTAAGTTGCTCGTTATTCGCTATTTAACCATGTGGAACATACTTCCTGTAGACCTCCGTTGCAGTGAAACTATAACTCGGCTTAGAAGTCTCCTCGACAGCTTTTTTCCGAAAGTGGTTTGTGACATCCATTAAATATCAATGTGATTACCACTGATTCAAATACACACGATCCGATATCCACACAATTGATTGTAAAGCAAAGTAGAACACTTGAAACTTTGCTCGTTATTTTATTCCCCACCCATTTATTTAAACCTCCCAAGTCTTTGTGTGTTTGCAACAGCTTAGGTTGGTTGGTTAAGAGTTGACCCCAAACAACCAAGCATATGCCAAAACAGTATTGTTCAAGTATTCATTCAATTCCTTATTTTGTATAAGCGTTATATTCCCTATTATATTATATTGAATGTTGAGAGCCTTTGTTTTTCTGAACAGATAATCTCACGCTCCACTGTGACTGCGCGAAGATCGAAATAAAGACCTATTCACTACTTGTCTGGTTTCTTCTATCAATAGCGCGAGGGTTACCTTAAGGCACGAAATGTTCACATTTATTATTATTGTTACCATGATTGATCCTCTGACACATTAGGTATACTTTTATTCCGACCTACTCTTTTCCTCCTTAACAAACTTATTCCCTACACATCCAGAAATTATAATTAAAAACACATTATCGTGTGTTACACTTAATTAAATTAACTTTTCAGATTTACTTTATTTTCAGCACGTATATATAATCCAAACAAATTGTTCTTTAATTATCCCTTGCAATTAATTGAGACTTCGACAACATCATTCTGAACTATTACTGCACAAATACATATTCCGCCGGCATATTTTACTGCATCAATGATTTACTTTCTTACATACTTTTACTCAACTGACAATACCTACATCATCGTTTATCACTATTCTCTTTTCACAAACACACTTTTAAATCATTTACATATTTTGTGTTTATATCCTTCAAATTTCCCTTCTTTTCTTATTGCCTTCTTCAAAGTAAACTCGGTACTCTAAATTCTACAGAACTCTTCTAAGTATAGAGTATATTGTGCCAACATTATTGGAACTTGTGTATTGCTGTATTTCTGAAGAAATCTAGCTTGATTTCTTCACAACACTTATGCACAAATAGGCTGTTTGCGAATAATAATAATAACGTAGAATAATACTATCAGATTCATCTTTATCATATACCGCTGGTGCCACTACGTGCGGAGGAACCTCCGTTAAACAAATGAACTCATTTGTGGTTATCTCCGAAGATGCTTGTAAGGACAATGAAACATCACTGGGCCCTAGCCAAATTATTCGGAAGTCGGGTCATTGGATGTCGAAGAGTTCACCGATCCTCCTCAAGGTCGAAGACAACTAACGCGCATCACTTAATTGCACTTCATGGACTGATGTATGTAATGGTGTTCGTATTTTGTTTTTCGTACCTACTCTTACTGAAATATTTCTGTAATAACGTCGTTTGTGTTGCACGGTCATCAAAGCAGCCACAGGACATGGGTACGACGAAAGGGGAATCCACGTTAGGTACTAACCGTGGAGTGTAACTTCGACGTTAGCTGGTACGTCGTACCGTATCCGTTCAACTCGAGTAGGTCCTCAATCACTCGGCTTAGATTATCTACGTTAGTGATCTACACTGGTGAGCAAAACGTCGAATGACACAACCTATTATCATAATCTTTATTCTTAAATTCTATACTTATTCTTTTTCTTATCTATCGTCGCTTAAGTTCATCAATTATTATGAACATTCGTTGCTTCATATCAAATTTAATTAGTATTAAAGCTTAACTAGTTATTTAATTCAATGAAACCACCTATCCAACTACGATTACAATTGGTTATCGTGCATTTTTAACAAGTATGTAAATGCTCATTTGCAATATGTCCGTTAAAATAACAACTACTAGTTAGTATAGCCACAAGACATCACGAACGCATATTTGTTTGTATCTTATCTACTTGTGCAAGCAAGACAAAACCAAATATCGATCATAATTTTATCTTCCTACTTAATCACTATACACTATATATGCATTGGTCGAGATCAGCCCAAACTATTAACATCAATGAGCGAAACCCAGGCATGCTATTATGCTTTCCCATCACAAGCTTGCCTTATTTGGAACGTCTGTCTAGTTAAAGTGACGCGACTCCGTGGGGTTCTCCCACCAGACGATTTGCTGCTGGATGGCATTCTGTTGTAATGATGTGATGGATACTTATAGTGCATGTGAATTTATTGGAGGTGCGATTGGAACTGCATATGGTACACCTGAATTAAAACATTCATCTCTTTGGGGACACAGCAACAAAACCTTTGGCTGCCTACTTTGGTAAACATCTATCCTACATTATACTCTTCTGATTGCCTATACTCTGATGGACAACCTATACTTTATACTATAGTCAATTAAAACACCACATCGATGGTTCATAATTTGTAACTGACAGACAAGCTTGTAAAATAATGTTTATAAAACTAGTGTTTTCCAATAGGATGTGAACTTTGAACTTGCCCCACCCTGGTAAATATCATAATTCATTGTTATTTACTCATCTGGAGCCTCTGATCATATTTCACTCTAGCAACTACAGCTAGTATGAATTTGACCTAATAATTATTAGGCCAATAACAGATTATTCTATCATACAACTGTCTGTTCCACTACAAAATGTTATTGTTTAGCGTTCATATCCAATTGCCTTGCTGCTCCCCTGTTTCTCCTTTTTCAGAATCTTACTCTGAGGGCACAGCTATGGACGTTCTGACGTCTGGAACGTACGCGGTTTCTCAAAGTCATAGTTTACACCAATAGCTCTACAAGTCTACTTTAGAACAGCTATAAACTTAAAAAGTTGTATTGCATAAATATTTAGCACGACCAAAATACTAACACAGTTAAACCGAATTGGATCTGGTATGTGACGAGGACACGATACTACTTTGAAAAATATCTTGAAGACTGTACTCAGCGTATTACTAAAGCCTAAACCTAATCATTAACTCTCCAAGACATCTGCACGAATGTACTGTTATTTACTTTTATTGATTATATCTATTTAACGATCCTACTTAGAAAGCATACTGTGAGCCAACACATGCTGTAAAATGGCGTGTACCTGCCTTTCCTGAAACTTACTATTATTATATCTTTTACCAGGCATGTAATAAGCCATTTGGTAAAACGGCACGCCTCAGTAAAGATGTGAGTAAAACCGTTGGACGGAGCCAAAATCTAACTAACTCGACAAGAACATGTTGAAAACGATTGGATAACCTGAATATTGACAATGTTCTAATTATGTGTCCGTGTATACTGCTACGCTAGCACTATTAACAATTCTGGTCCACTAATTTATAATTGGACTCATTTCTGTTTAGACAAGTCTTTCTGAGATCAGTCTCACAATAGCATGAATCCCTGGAAGAAATAATGAATGAAAACAATCAAAAGCTCTCTTTCTGTACACTACCAGCACAAATGGTTTGTGTATGCAAGTTGAAGTGTCGCAAATTATAGTGGACTCGGAATGTAGTATTTAAGCACTATTTAAAATTAGACTTGAATTTTATCCATACGCAGAGAGATAAGAATCATCGGCCTGTAAACGTGTACTGTTTAATATAAATCAGTCCAGTGGAGCAAAGTGCACCCACGTTGAAAAGTGATAAAATATAATAATAATTTATAATAATAATAATTTATTCTCAAATAACGGTTTGTTACATGAGGCATGCCAGTTTACAGGCAAGATCAAATTGATACAATGATGCAACATACACTGTATTAAATTACATAGCTGGGTTGATAATTTATAAGACATGAATGTAGATGGTTTTAATCAGTACTACATTTGATTCACTTTTTGTAAACTGCATATTGGTCGAAACTTATGAAATTTGATCTGATTGTTGCATCTTTCTGGATAGAAAATGTTCGGTTTTGGCGTCAAAGGTTTGTGAACAGTGAGTATCACGAGACCCCTATCTTGAAGTAAATGTTTAAAATGTCTAACTGTCAAGTAAATGGCTAGTGGTTCTCTACCGAGATTGCTTTATCGCGTTTGAGTTGGTTCTAGTCTCTTCGAAAAGAAAGTGGCTTGGTTTCGTTATTTACTCGCTGTTGTATTACTGTACATCAGACGGATCTGTGCACAGAAATAGTGTTGTCTCCGGGTCAGGATTTAAGTCAAAGTGGTTGTGAAAACAATTGCTAGTCTAACTGTAGAAAAGATATATGAACCTTCTGACTTTACATCTTTACGCCTGCATTAAAGTTTGTGGAATAGCCGAACAGTATGAAATTAACTGACGAAAGAAGTTAAACATCCTCTAGAAACATCGAGGTTTATTCAAATATTATGGTTCTGAAAAATTGTTCATGGCTGCAATTTTTTAATCTACTTTTTCTATTCCATGTTTTTTGGTCGAGTGGCCTAAAAAGTCTAAGCTTTCGACTCGAAAAATGCATTGAAATGGATTAAGAACTATACATAATCTACGAAATTTTTCAGATGGTTGATGCAGGTGACCAATATGTTCAAGGCGTGGACTGGTAACTAGTAATACATCGTCGAGATACATGAAAACAAAATCTACGCCTTTAGAGACCTCATCCATTAATCGTTGGAATGTCTGTGAAGTGTTATTTAATCTGAATAGCATTCTCAAGGATCCAAACAAATCAAAAGAAGCCAGATTTGCCACGTCCTCTGATGCTACTACAATCCAATATTACACTGACACAAGATCGATCCCATAAAAATTTCTCGCGAACGTAGGCGAAAAGTCGTGCAAATAAGGGATGGGGTACTATCAGGTAATTTTACGTTATTCCATAATCGATAATCATCAAAAAGTTACCAATCCTGACCCTTCATAAGTATCATATGAAGTTGGGTTGCTCAGGGGCTGCTCAATGAACGTATTATTCTAGGCCGCGTGATTTTATCAGATGCGGCCTTTGAACCGACAAGTTGGTCTGGCGGGGATTGATGTGGATCTGCCGAAATTGTTTGACTTTTTTAATGATCCCACGTACCACCGGATGCTGGGTAATGTTTCTATTATAGTCTGGTTTCATTATTTTAAGAAATTCGGATAAAAATTGGGCGAGTATATTGCTTATTTGTGTGTTGATTTTACTACTGTGTAGGTTATAGTCCAACTGAACGCCAATATCAGGGGTTGTTCTCTAAATATCTTCACTCGAGTTTTGTTGGTTGCTTGTAATAAATAGTCTCTTTATTTGGCAATGGGTCTCCTGGTTAACGTAACTGGGATAATATGGACTTCAGCTTCCGTGTCTACCAAGGACTTGTTGCCGATTGCCCTATCAGGAATGCGGAGGGGGAGATTAAAGGCACAACTAGCAATAGTCGTCGCCACTGCTATCTGGTTGACGCATTTTCGAACAAGGAAAACTACTCAAACCAACACACTTTCTAGTTTTATTGCCACACATTCTACGGTACCAACAGATGTGGTCGTCATATTTGCTTGTTCTTGTGGTTTTTTGGTCCTTAGTCCTCTGAAAACTAGATATGGGCCTTCGAAATATGAAATCGGAAATTATTAAATGTGATGCATCTGGTCTTTCTTCAAGACTAGCGACAGTGTGGGCATGATGTGTACGTAGGTCGCCTGATTAGGCTGTTAATGACCTTCCTGCTTTCTCCATTATTGAGGTTTTTCTCGGAGTTGAATGTTTAATATCTATTTCATATATTTTCCCGTGTTAGGGTCAAACGCTACTATAAAAACATTGTAAATATAAAAACAATCAATGCTAAGAGGAAAAGAAACGCCGAAATGTGTTGCGGGTGAACTTAAAATTTTCGTTTCGTAAAAAGTGTATGAGGTCACCAGTTACCAATGATTTAACAAGAAGACTTAACGCCACAAACAGAAGTGTCTATTTATGAGTAAAACAAAACAGTAACAAACAACACTTACTGCAAACTGGTCTATTAAACAACAATATTCTAACAATTTTTATGAAATGCGCGTTACTAGTAGATCACTATCGTGGATGATTTATGTAGAATTGTCAGGGGGGGCTTAGTCGAGTTACACGGGATTAGTATTGATATGAAAGAGAACACAAGTGAGAGACAACCAATGTATTTTAGTACATAAATACAGAACCTCTTAGGAAAATATTAGAACCAAACAGTAAATAATCCGCTCACAATATGTTCACCAGTCGTCTGAAGCTTCGTCGTCACTTCGTTTCCATATAAATAACTCTCTTCCCTTTGATCTTATCAAACTTCTGAAGAACATGCAGATGGGGCTTATTATGGCGTTCTTCCCGTCTCTCGGTAAACAATCCTGGGTTACAGATAGATTAAAGCATATACATAAAGGGTTCGCAACGAAGTTTGCCGCTTCCTTTAGTAACCTAGGATGCCGTTCATCGGGTCCCGTGGATTTGCCTATGTCGAGCTTAGTTAGCAGACCAAAGACATCGAATTCTCTAATGGTCACGCTGTCCAATGTGTGTGGGAGGGATTTGTATGAACTGATGGGAAGGGTGTTTCTGTGGTATATACACTGCTAAATTATTTTGAGAATACTCGAGCTTTACCAAAATCGTCCTCCACTAATGATGAAGCAGTACTATAGTGCAGGAATATTTCCTCTTCTTTTTGTCTTTTGGTTTATATACGAATTTCTTGACGACTTTCTCTTCGTACAACCTTCTAAAATTTCGGAAGGTCGAGACACAAGTTTTCCGAGCTTTTCGATACTGAGATTTTTCCTCGTCAGTCCCCAGTAACCCAAATCTATCCCACATTTTTCTTCTCTTACGGATCAGGATATAAATCTCCTTACCGAGCCATGGTGGAGAGTTTCTCTGCCCCACGGGGTGTGGGGTGCAATAACCTTTAAGTATAGCATTGGAAATGCGTCCCAAGCCGTTTCAATTGGAGACTCCTGCACTATTGTCCAATATACTGACGATGCTGAGTGAATAATATCTTGCATATTTGCTTTCCAGACGTTAGGTCTGGATTGAGCTGATGCGTTCTCGTTTTTGGCAATTATATAATGGCCATGGGTGCTTTGAAGTGCCCCCCAGGACTAGACATCGACCACTTTGTGAGACTGTTCAGCAAGACCTCATTTACCTCACAGATTGGACTGCGATAGATCAAACCAATTAGCAGCCATCGTCCCTTGCGTTTCAAGCGGCAACTAACTAATCCACACGCCCCACTATCATGGGATACACTGTCGATAACTGCAAATGGAATAGCATTCCTAATTAATAGAGCTACTCCTCATTTACACTTCCGGATTCTGTCAGCTCTTGCTAACATAAAGCCCTCAAAATCAAGTTCCATACTATTCACAAACTGTGTCATTCACGTTTCTGTGACTGCGATTATATCTGGCTTGGTCTAGTCAATCTGCACACCTAGTTCCGACCGTTTATCAAGCAAGCTTCCGACATCTGTGTAACAGATCCGATGCCTATTTAAATGGCTTCATGCTGCGCCCAGAGTGGCTTCAGTACCATTCCCTGTCGAGGCCTTACAACCTGAAAATCGACAATTATTAGGTCCTTTTCGCCAGCGTCTGGTCTATGTTGTAGTGTACCGCACTATGTGTGACTACATATAGTGTCATATATAGGGAGAAAAAATATGATCCTTATTTTTTCGTTACAAAATTCATTGAGCATGAATGCCACTATATGTTTCACTGACCTTATGAAGACAGACTGGAACATCTTAACCTATTTCCACTAAACCGTAGGTTATGAGGTAACCTAATACTTGCTTATCGTATAGTGAGCTATGATTTGGTAATAATGTTTCACTCTTTCCTACCATCCAGAACTGATTATGTGAGAGGATATTGCAAGAAACTTCAAAACCGAGACCAAATTGTTTACGTCAGGGGTTTTGTTTCTCTCATCACGTAGTTAATTGATAGAAATTTCTACCAGAATAAGTAATATCAACACGATCAGTTGATATATTCAAAGCCAGATTACTTCTTCGCAATACTACAAATAACGAGGATTCATATAAGTTACTTGACCTCCCACCCTCATTACTAAAGAGTGAAGATCGCCATCAACTCAAGCGCTTGAAAAATCAACCAATAGGAATCCTAACAGAGACGTGGCGCGACCTCCAACTGGCAGCCTAGTGTTATATGTTGAATTGTCGTAATTTACACGTATGGTACTGCTGACTGCTGTCTACTGTTTCCATTAGAAAATGTAAGTGCATTCCATGTGCTTACTGAGTCATCAGCTCATTTTCTCCTTGTTCTTCATTCCAGCTTTCTTTGTTCACTCTGCTTTCCCCGGTCCCCCAACATCTAAAGTTTCGTCAGGCTAGGCCGATACAGAATGTCTTTTCAGAAATCTTGGCGATTGCCACGCTCGATCAAATATTTCCGCTCTCCGTTAGCTGTCGACGATAGTAGAGTTTCTAAAACCATTCTCAAACAGTTAAATTTTAAACCAGTTATTAAAATGTCGTTTCGTTTTAATCCATTACTACAGAAAACAGAGTCTATTAGGTTAGTATGTATATGATAACAAAAATTTTGTAGACAACTTTGTAGCATACTCAGTGAACCGAGGTGGCGAGCATCCAATACTAATATGCTAGTAAAGATCAATGTACTCTCAGACAGTAACCCTCCTGAAGTTGAAATTTCATATGGTATGCCATAAACACTTGTAGCTTATCCAAATTTTTTCTAGATAATGGCCATATCCTTATCTTGAAGACAGAAAATTTAAGCCTTCGAGAGACAGTAGAAATCATTATTGCACATACGGGGATCATTATGGCAGAATAGTTAACCGTTAACGTTTAGTAATATATATTTATTCATTTAACATACAGTCTTTCTAGTTTCATACTTTTTCACTCCACATATGTAAAGAGAAATGCAATTCCTTTAACTATAAGATTTTGAGTTATGTTTTCTCCAGAGTAATGTTTTAGTCTTATCACTATTCAACTGTGTTTTTATTTCGCTTCTTAGCTTAGTGTTAAATAGAAAATATTGACATGGACTTTAGTAAGAAATAGGTTCTTGTCCGCCAATTTAGTCTAAACTCGATCTTCATTACTTATTTCTAGATTTTGCTGCTTGAACGCTTAGTTTTGAAGACTGCTTATCTAATTGTTTGATAGTGGAGTACATACTTCTTCTTGTTAAACTCGGCATAAAAACTACTTTACAAACTTTCGACAGATTCTTGGGCTCCTCATGGGTAGTTTTATGAGGAATTAATATCTAGGCTTTCAATATATATATATATATGAAAGGCCAAAATAATATTAGCTCTTTGTAAAAACAATCTAATAGTTATATGTCAGTTAATTAGCAATCCTCGGTTTTTATACTCTTAGTATTAAATTCACAATACTCTAGATAACCGGATCTCATTCTACATTATCGATATGTTACTTCAATGTTATTTATGCTTTAGTATTTCATTTATGGTTTTATCTAGTTTATGAAATTAAATAACTTTAAACATAACACAAGTCAAAGTTTTGTAACTAGATGCAGGGTTATTTATTAGCCCTAAACACCATTTGATACACAGCCAGTTACGGTAGTGAAATTGTATCGATTCTCTAAGTTTAAATCTTGAGTTAAGCATCATTCCTAATTTTTCATATCTTGATATCATTTGTTCCTGCTGAGTCGTACTTTTAAACTACGATTCTTTTTGTATTATTACTATTCTTAGGCCGTCAAGTAGTATACGGTTCTGAATAATTTATTCTTCTTTCTTTCCAATTTCGTGTTTGGCAATAGTGGTAAAAAGAATGTAGAGGAATCTAGACTAACTGCATGGTCACTAAATATTTTAGGTACTGAATGACATTGACTAAGGAAAATAAACTAGTGATTGGTCCATATTACGAAAACTCTTTTGGTCCATGGTTTCTTTGGTACGATGCAGTTGGTGCATGTGTAAGTCGGTCTGAGAAACCACATCTGTCAGGATAGTAAGATGTAAAAAAATCATCTGATGTCATTCATTTTAATATTTATGGTTCTTTTAGCTTCATAGACAAATAATAAGATAACTTGAAATATTTTCTAAGTGCGTCGTTCCTTCAATGCACTCAGTTCTATTCCTTGTTTTTGGACCCCATAGTTCTATGTTCTTCATAACATCTTTCATTTCGTCATATGTAGTACCATATAAGTTTGTAATGCAGTTTTTCTTGGCAAATAAAATGATGGTATTTGCGCACATTACGAAGTAATTTATGGTCGGCTTCAATTTCCGATACCAGTTGCCTAGATGCAAGTATCGTTCAGATGAAATGTGTTATTTTCAACTTAGTCTATTTCTCTGTATCTTTAATCTCAGTTATTTTGTGCCTACAGAAGCACTGTTATACTTCGTATTCTGGCTAACAAAACTATTTCACTTAATATCATTTTGTCACTGTTACTCGTTTAGAGATAAAGTTTCTGTTTGACGTCTGAGCTATAGATCTCCCGCCAGAAGATTCACTTATTGACTTTGAATAGGCGAATGATAATCCGGTCTTGATAGTACCCGGCATGGGGCATTCTTTCAAACGCCTTGATCAGCTAAGCAAACATGATTAAAATGCGTTTTGCTCTTTTTAAATGCAGTGTCTCTGTAGGATTGGTATGGGTCATCGCACAGAACTGATCTTATAGAAAAAGGTAATTGAGCGTGTTGACCACTTCACTTATCGAATGATGATGCACCGAAGCTTCATCTGCTGAGGTGGTTTTGACTGCAGTCACCACCTGCCCTCGATTTGCAATGTTGGCTGAATGGAAGAAACGAATCTCTAATGCTTGTTCACTTTACACTGGGAATTTTCACTCATTAGTTATTTCAATTGATGCTTTTATTCGAATGTAATGCTTTATTCTCTCTTAAACTTATTAAATCTAAATTATATCCGCTATGTGCACAATAAGAATTTACCGCCTTGTAATTTGATACGAACCATATCTTATGTGAAACTTGGCTGTCCTATTAGTATTTTTCAAACGGTCAAATCAGTAATTCAATCATCTACAACGTAGGACCAGGCATATATATATATCCAAGTTACCTTACCTCATTAGCACAACAAGATGAACACCAAATTCATAGGAACAGTCACTTCACTGGTAGTAATATATGAAAAAAATTGCATATAAGGATATGATACAGGAAGGAAGAATTGGTTCGTAGAAAGAAAGGCATAAAGTAATTTTAATCCCGTTGTGGGCTCGAGGATCCTAAGAAAACAATTGGCGTATAAACCTATTGTTGACCACCGGCTACCATGGGACTGCGTCTCCTTTCATTGCTCCACTGCCTTGTGGACTAGTCCTTTAGGTCGAAGGCTCGGGGCATGACCCCTTAGGATAACTACCTGCTTCGGTTCGGGAACCCGGGCACTATCCCAGCCCTTAAGCATATCGGATGATTTATGTTGCTCATACATATTTGGTGCCCTCTTGTACCAATGTTCATGTGTTTAAATACTGTTATTAGTGGGAATGAATACCATTTAACATGGTAGTTGTCTCTTAGCAACAACTGTTAGTTCCCCACATTGGTACGTATACCAACCAAGAATGTACATAAACTAATGTGTAATAATATTTGCATCTGTCTTGCAAATAATCGGCCGGACATCAACCACATAATATCTAGTGGATGTCTTGGATCAGTCCAAGCTGCGGCATAACTGACATCGGCATAGCGAAATGGGCAAACTAGTACCGGTAGTCAGAGAGATGTAGTAAAAGTGGTTCGAAGGACTTGGATAAAAAGTATGGTATAAAATTAAAATCTGTAGGAAGGTAAAGAATGAGTCCATATATACTACCTATGCTATTGTGAAACACTTTCGAAGTGGTGACTTAGTGACTAAGACGCTTAACTTAACCATTACATCGCAGATTCAAGGCCCACTCTAGCTACTTTGGTTTAGACGACCATGTAGTATCATTAACCCTTACACTTAGTGTGACTCGAAGCCAAGTACATGATTATGTACCCGATAGGTAAGTAGCTTCCGTATATGCAAAGACTACAACTGGTTGTCAGGTATATCACTTAGTTTTCAACACTTCCTAATTCTGGGTAATTCGTAGTGTTCTGTAAATTCTAACCTTATAGATTATTTTGAAGTTGATGCGACTGATGTCACTGTAAAATTCCAGGGAAAGTCTCAATAATGATAGTTTAAATATTAAAGTTTCGTCAAAATAACCATATATATAGTTAGTTATTGAATCAAATACTTTGTGTATATGTTATATATTAACGTAGTTCATTATACTTATCATAATAAAATTGTTCAGCAAAGTAAATATCTTCTTTTTGTTGTTGTTGAGACGAACGCTTGACATTGAATGATGATATTTTCAAAGTTGCATACATTTCCGTGTAACAATGATTCTACTAATCTGTTTACTTGCCTGTCCAACTACACTGTTCATCTATGTTTATTGTATATAAATTTTTAATTAAGTTTGGTACATTGATAAACATGATCAATTCATAACCATTTGATGAATAAATTTATTTAACTTGATCCAACTATCTGGGTGCAAGAGACCAAGTCAGTCAAATGCATTCATGCCGCGTTGGCATAGCGAAATGAAATTGCTATGACACATCTCATTAGTAGAGGTAGTAACAGTATCAATGGTAATCGAATAGATTAGGTATCTAAGATGTAATTCGAGAAGAAAATACATATTTGTGAAATAATTAAAAGAAAGCATATGATGGATTTAGAAGTTTAGGACTTAAAGGAATACAAAGAATGATTGTCCCTGCACCATTGTTAACGTCTTGAGTCATGTTATTTCAAAGTCTCTAAACGTTGGCGTGAACTCTAACTATATAGTTTGAACCTGCCTACATGATTGAATCCGACGGTCAGTTTCTTCATCCACCGATGCCACGTCTTGATTTAGCAGCCTCTAGCTTTTTCTCAACCTACTCGTACACTAGCCACTTTCATGCGTCAAGGTAGTCAGTGCATAGGTACACTTAATACATGTCCCAATCATCCCAGCAGATAAATATTCACTGCCTCAAAAGATTAAGTATAATTCACATTGGTAGCATTGTGCACGTAAGCTTATATGTTACTATCTCTGATACAATTTGATATTGGGATACGAATACTCAGATTTTAGCCACTATCTACAAATTCCAACCAAAACCAGCAATCCGCCCTGCATTATTATGCAACCACAAAATAACCTGTGAAAGTAGATATACACACACCTGGGGTATTTGATCATATGTATCTTCAGAGCCCTGGTGGCAAGTTGTAGGACCATCGACATGATACTCATTGTACTAGGTAGAAAGAATAAATCTACTGATGACAAGGCTATAAACTTTCATCAGCTAAGACGATTAGATGTTTTAATCATCCTTAACCATCACTGCCCATTACGGCATACAATATTGATTGGCAGGAGTAAATTATAGAGCTAAGATTAAGCGGATCCTAACATCATATCGGTGCATAAAATTACTGACTCTTCTTCCAAGACATATCGAAAGTTGTTAGCATTCAACTTAGGGCTTACGCAATATTCATAAAATCAAGTGTAATTAATTGGTTCTCAAAATCACTAACTTTTCTGTTGTCATCATCTATTTTAGTGTCGATATATATTTCTTATTCTAGATATGAACAAATCGATGACCAATTCAAATCCAATGGAATACGACTGTGATTCAGATGATTGGCAAGAAGTCACACTGCCTGATTCGCTTTCATCTGAAAAGTATACTTGTTTAATGTGTGAGAATAATTTTAACACAGCTCCATTATTTTTTCAACATCTTACCCTTCAACATGATTGGGTCAATTTTTTAGACGGTGAAGGCAAAAGTATTTTCAATGATCAATATGATTGGATTCGATTCGTTAATTTTGTTCGCAAAACTGTAAGTTCAATAATGTTTGTGATGTGATGGGTGGTTTAAAGCATTTTTCTCCCAGGTATGCCACGATAATAAGACTAGTCACGTCGAATCAGATCCAGGATTCACGACCCAAAATAGAGATCAGAGTATGGACATAAACACAAGCAGTCACTCTCAGTGAGTCCGGAGTAGAAATCAAGGAGCGTAAAGGAAATCACACATTTAGTAGTCCATAAACCACATGCCTGTTTGTCTACTCTCGGTGACCAATCATATTTCACCTTCACCACCACATATCAGTTTTAGGTAATAATTAAATGAAACGGATATATCTTTTGTTGACAGTAGATACCAGTATTTTTTATGAGTTGTTTATTAAAGCTGACATTTACCTACCCGTTGGTGTCCGTAGTTTGGTATGTAGTTTTCACCATCTAAGTACAAAGTTCTCGTGGTGGCAAGCTGCTAGAAGTAGTTAAAAATTTATGTACCTGGGTAGTTGTGTGTACTGATGGTGGCGTGGGTGATGGGATCTGTCTACGTATATTGAAAACCAGGTCGGCTTATGCTTATCCTGGCTATCTTTGCTGTTGTCGTGATGTTGGTCTTTCTATAAAGAACTGGGTCTACAATACGTCAATGAAAGCAGTTTCCCTCCATACTTGTGAAACTGTAGTAGGCCCATTCAACTATTTTATTATTTGTCTACTCGCTGTAATTTAGACATTTAATCCACTATGTAAAATTATGTGTGAGTTTGATTCAGTGCATTTCCGCACATCAACCTTTATTCACAATCGATTAACACTTATAAATATTATATGGATTTTTTGACACACATACATTCACTGGTTTCTCTATGTGCTTGCTTTTCGTCGCGCTTGCGGATTTTTACCAATCATTAACAATAAACTGTCTCTACAACTGGTGTTCTGGCTTTGGAATAATCTCAAGTAAATTCATAATACTACTTAAAGATTCAGCCTGTGTTAAATACTCAGTTAACGGGAGAGTCAGCTCTCTCTTTCGAAATGCTCCCACATTGCCACGCGTATACAGCTAATGCCAGGGAAGTCACTGTTTTCTCGTGGTGTGGGTGTTGTTGACGAAATTGAGAGGACGAAATCGAATGTCTGTCGCTTTAAACGTGTTGGTGGATATGCTTCGGTTTGGGTACCCGGGCAGTATCACAGCCCTCACATGTATCGAATGAGATTTGTGTGGCGCATATGTATTTGCTGCTTCTTTGTACCATTATCTATATGTTGAAATAAATAAAAGTATCCACCTAGAGGAGTTAGAAAACCCTCATTCCAAACCAACGGTGCACATAGGCTCCAGGATCTTAAGAGAACAAATGGCGTATGAATCAATTATTGGTCACTGGCTACCACGGATCTGCATCTCCTGACGTTGCTCTACTGCCTTGTAGATCAGACCTTTAGGTCGAAGGCTCAGTGTATGGCCCCCTAAAAAACCATCTTCGTCGGTTTGGGCACTCGGGCAATATATATATATATATATATATATATATATATATATATATATATATATATATATATATATATATATATATTATCGCTTTATTTCGTGTAGCGCACATTTCCTTTCTCTTGGTAGTGCCCAGTTACGCCAGACTTTATGTATTCTATTAAATAACAGAGTACTTATGATATACTAAGCTCCTTCAATATACACATAACTTCTAACAGTTTCTGTTACACGTTGAACTCTGCGAATTGTGATCAATTCCGTGATCAATTAACCAATTAATTAGATCTTTTCTTGTTATTTGTTCATATCTTACTGGGTTTTTTCACTTGAATCAATGCTAAGGTTAATGTAGTGTAGCTTAAAAAAATTACTTACCAATTATTAACACCAATTATCTGTAGTTGTTTTACAGCGAAAAAAGAATAACTTATACGTATTTATGCATATTTTAGAAACCAGTGGATTTACGTCAAGCATTTTATGATATGGTTTGGAAAACTGACTCCTTAGATCTACTCTATCCAGTTCTACCGGATGATGAAGTTCTATCGATTGGTGGGTGTTTTCTTCTTTGGGTATTTTTGTCGTGATAAAAAGTTCTCAGGGATACATTATATCCCCAAAACAGAGTACGAAAAAGAAAATCAGTTGTCATTTTACAAATCTAACGACTTAAGGTTCTATTTTACCTAGAACTGACTGATTAATAAATCTGTGAGGTATATGTTTGTTACACTGACCATTCGTTTTGGAATCTATATGATATATGTATATACAAAATACGCAACAAAAATTAATGATCAACATGGGTTTTTGTGGAGGTTATAGAATTTCCTTAGTTTTAATTTACAGACTGATCTTAGTTAGACCATTATTTAAAACCTAGATGCACTGAAAAGTAGTTTCATTCTAGTATGAGAACCCTTACACGTTTTCATTTGTCATCTAATTAAAATCAGTTTGTGACCTAAAATCATGAAAATATACATTAGTCCGAATTATTATACTTCAAATCATGCATACAGAGGAAATTACCAAAATGAAAGGCGAAATAATAAGTGGTATCCATAATACAATGTCCAGCTTTGTTGCAAGTAGACGATTTGAACTTCACAGATGACCTAGCCCTTCTATCCCATACATACAAACAAATGCAGGTCAATACAACCAGTGTAGCAGAAGCCTCTGTAGCAGTAGACCTCAACACACACACAGGAAAAAACAAGATCCTGAAATGCAACACGGAACACCAACCCAATCACACTTGATGCAGAAGCTCTTGAACATATGGAATCTTTCACTTACCTTGACAGAATCGTCAATAAACAAGGAGGGTCGGATGCAGACATAAAGGCGAAGATTAGCAAAGCAAGCACAGCAATCCTACAGTTGAAGAACATACAAAACTCAAAGCGACTGTCAACCAATATCAAACTCACAATCTTCAATACGAACGTCAAGACAGTCCTACAATACGGAGCTGGAACTTCGGGAACTACTACAACCATCATAAAAAATGTACAAGTATTTATAAACAATTGTCTACGTAAGATACTGGATGTCCGTTGGATGGATACCATCACCAAAAATCTACTATGAGAGAGAGCAAAGCGGCTTCCAGTTGAAGAGGAAATTAGCAAAAGACGTTGGGAATGCACAGGACATACATTGAGAAACCCATCAAACTGCGTCGCGTAGCAAGCGCTGACTTGGAATCCTGAAGAGAAAAGGAAAAGAGGAAGGCCAAAGGAAACACTGCGACGAGAATTGGAAGCAGACATGAAAAGAATGAATAGCAACTGGAAACAACTGGAAAGGATTGCTCAGGACAGAGTTGAATGGAGAATGCTGGTGAGTTGCCTATGCTCCTCCACGAGGGGTAACAGGCGTAAGTAAATGAGTTCCCATATTTGTATAAATAACTGAACATAGGGAATGCGGTTGAGAAGTAAGTAATGAATTATTCAGGAAAAATTGCGAAAAAAATCAATACACCATGCATCAATATGACCGGTTGTGAACCATGTCACTCTTACATAGCTCACTAACTATAGTCGGTTGATGGAATAGATTTAGCTTTTTAACTTTCATACTTTTTGTGACGGCTAATAATACTACTACCACTACTAACCAGTAGTAGTTCGGACCAAAGTAGATAAAAAATTGAAGTCGATATTTTGCAAAAAAAACATTTTCCAACTATTACTAAGAGTTACATAAATATTAAGTCATTAAATTTTAGTATTTTAACTTCTTTTTTCCCAATTACAATTAATAGCTTTCTACTGTTTCTCCCATTTTTCATGATATTTACATAATTTTGGTTAAAGCTGTTGAATTTCAGCCTATTAAATTGCAGGTTCGAACTCTCTGAGCCCTAAATACTTCGATTTGCGTAAATGTCTTAGTAGTAATGTCTGTCACTAGTCTTCATGCATAATATGTGGCTTGAAACGAAGTTAATGATTCTGTTACTATTCAACTGATTTTTTTTATCATACCTTCACCTCAGATATTGAATCCTATTTATTGGATAATCAACGAAGTGATCAGTCATCTGGGATAGTTGTACGTGAAAAGTCAACTATTCAACAACCTGTATCACAAGAAATGTCACGTATCATGGCAGAAAACAAAATGTTACGTACTCAGTTAAACAATTGCAAGTAAATTATTGTTATATTTGTTGAATAAAAATTCGATTAGTTAATTTTATTCATGATGATTTTGGATTATCCCGTTGTTGATATACTTGATTGAAATCTGATCAATTTTAGTTGGGATATGTGCATCCTATGCAGGATTGCCCTTATTCGTTGCCGATTATGATACAAGTTTACGTAGAATTGATGAAAAGTGGCTAGCAGTGAAATCGAGGACTGGCGTTTCATCCTTTTTGGGACTCGTCTTCAGCTAACGGTACCTGCATCCTAGAGTTGATATTCACTTTGGGGCTTTAACTCAGTAGCTAAGTGGATAATTCGTTGGTAGTTGAAGCAAATGGCACTGTGTTTAAATCCCAGAGTGAACATTTACTCTGAGGTTCAGATAGATCCAGCTACCGACGAGTCCCAAACAGGACGAAACTCGCGTTCTGGATTCCATTTTACATCTGTTCTATGTAAAAATTATATCAGTTTATTTTATTTTGAAATAATTGATCGTGAGGGGAAATTATGAATTTTAGTTTTTTTTTCACTTACTGACAGGAATGTGTTGCAAGGAAGCAACATAGAGACTGGTTGTATAGAATGTCGTTCACTTCTCTTATTTAAACTAATTATGAGATGCATAACTTATTTCTACTAGGGTGCAATTGCTAAATAAGTAGCTTAGTATTTACATCTTTGTGTTGGGTAGTTGGAATTAGTCTACAGGAAAAATTTCTGAACTTGTGTTTGATACTAGTAGATACCTCGTACGACATAATACAGTATTATATGTGTGCACTAGTAACGCAAATAAATACAATCAGTAGCAGTGGATTGTGGTTATGCAATATCGTGACTAAAGTTATAAATATAAACTATTAGGCGCCAACTAACTAGTCTAAAGGTTATCTACTCATCATAAGGTTTGAGGATCCTGAGTTTGATCTTCGATAGGGTCTTGGGTGGACATTGGAGGGGAGTCTTACACTAAAATGACGGATACGTAGAATTCACCTAGGGGAGTTAGACAACCATGATTCCAAACAAATGGTGCATGTGGGCTTCACGATCATAAGGGAACAAATAGCGTATGAACATATTCTTGGTCACCGGCTATCATAGGATCATACCTCCCAACGTTGCTCCACTGCCTTGTGGTTTAGTTCTTTGGGTCACCGTCTCGGGGAATGACCCTCTGACAAAACCACATGCTTCAGTTCGAGCACTCAGTCAGACGCGTATTTCACCCTGTTTAGTACTCATCTTCTGGATTTACTTACATTCCAGTGTCGACGTTCGCGCTAAGACTCGAGCCTAATGTCTTTCATTTTAAACGCCCTACGAGTTGCCCATTGAACTGCGGGGTTTAGATAGCCACTAACTTTTGCAACAGGTATAATTTTTTTGCAAGGGTTTGTATCTTTCTATCGTCTTTTCAAATACATTTGGCTGACGAGTCTCAAATGGGACTAAATACACGTCTCGTACCCACTATTTGACTTAACTAAAAAACTTGTCATCATATGGCATCGTTATTGTTGTTGTCTTCTTTTGTACGCTAATTTGTGAGTGGTCAATGCTAATGATCTTTCTCATCCTTGTTCTATATTCCTAGACGTTTACTTTCAACTATGTCTGCCCAATCAGTTCGAAGAAAATCATCTGACCAATCGCCTGATTATGACTTCGACATGGAACCGAATGATTCCTCATATTTTGGATCTTATGGTCACTTTGAAATACATGGTGAAATGATAAGTAAGCTGATCATAACATTAGCTTTGTGATGTTTTTTCCCTAAGGGGTTTAAAGATAATTGGTCCTAATCACCGTAAGATTTGGCGTGAATGTGTTCATTGTCCTAAACTGTTACAATAATTCATTTCATCACAATAAGAAGGAAATTTAACACGATAAAATGCAAATTAACGGAGTATCACACTTATAATTCAAGAGCATAGCGATGTCCAACTGATGAGCTCTAAATGGGCCGATTTTCGCGTTCTGGATTCCACTGCTAATCAATTTAGGCTCCCACTTGAATTGTCAATTGTGATCATTGCACTGCATCATTTTATCCAAGAGATTTACATTTTTCATCACAGCAGTTTTTTCAAGTCAGTAACTTCGTTTGATTTTCTTTGTTGATTCAGATGTTGCTAAGTTTATTCCCATCTAATTTGTATGCTGGTCACCAATAAAGATCCATATCAAGTGCCTGTTACGACATGTGTTACATATATGCAGATGTTTCAAGACTATAAAATACTCTGTAAGTTGTTTCAACAAATATAAGTAGTTTGAAACTAAATGTATGGATGATTGATGCTTGAAGATTTCGTGGTGGTTTGAACTCGTTGGCGAGGCGTGCTTGAAATATTGAAGGAAATAATGATCCTTGTAGAATTTAAAGTCACTTCACTCAGCTACAATTTTCTTTTCATATCTATATAGATGATCGTGTACGTACTGAATCTTATGTGAATTTCATCTTGTCTAATTCAAACAAATATTTTAAGAATAAAATTATCTTGGATGTTGGCTCTGGTTCAGGTATCTTGTCGATTATCGCTGCACAAGCTGGTGCTTCACATGTTTACGGTGTAGAAGCTGCTGACGAGATCTATGCAGCTTCACATGAAACTTTAAGGTATGCATATTGATTTATATTTTTATGTTGTATGGTCGAGAGGAAACGGTTATTGATTTTTTTCTTAGACTATACAGTCTGATAGGTGTTTTATGATATGGCTCAAAATCGTTTGCAATGGCGCAAGTGCATCCACTCTTTGTGTTCTCCCATATTCTAATCTTCTGAATTCTTCATGTCCGTTATTTTCTTTCTAAATTTATTTCACTGGATTATACTCCTTGAATAACATCTTCAAGCCCTAATATTTCTGATTACTGCTTATACTCTTACTACCTCTACCACTACGGAATTTGAGTCAACAACTGCATCTCCGTGCTGATGTGGTGTGGCAACTCGAACTGATGTACGTACGTACGAAGTTCTACGTTGTTGCTAACTGACTGAGGTGTTTTATGTGTCGCATACATATTTCCCCACCCCTTGATTGTCAGTTGTTGGGTAAGAAACGTGTAGTGAACACGAACTCAGGTGGAGAAGACCAATTTATCGTTTAATGCACAATCACACAATGGTTTAGTAAAATGTGAAAATCACACATCAAATAAATCATTTGCAAATTTTCGAATTGTCTCTTATATGCTTTATTGTTCCTTCATTCTTGTTGTTATCTTGATTACTTCAGTTTCATTCTCTCTTCCCTTCACTTCAATCTTCTCACCCTTCTTCCATTCCACTTTCGACTGATATTACATACTACTTATATCTGCCAACATAAGTAGCGTACATCACACACGTACTAGTCAGGCGAATCACGTGTCCTTGGTTTGAGTTTTGTTGAAGCTTTGTACAATAGTGCTGGCTGAGCATCTAGTATAGAGTGAGCGAATCGTATACGCAGATAAATCGTTCATCGTTCATTTTAGGCAATTTCGTGTCCCACTAGTGTAAAGGAAAAATACGGGCATTAATTTGGTATGATGCTTCCATCAATGTTTAATTTATCTATTCTTTAAAATTAGCTTTACTTATATTATCTTCTGTACCACTAGAGAACCATGTTTCTTGTTGTTCGAAAATCAGGTCAGGGGTTCCGTCACTAACAACAAAAAACGGGAATATCTCACAATAGGAAAAACTATATTTTCTTTTGTCAGAGCGTTCTGCCACATGATTAAACAACACAGCTGAGAGAATGGAATGCTAGCAACACTCAGGATTACTGAACAACTAACTTTTCTTTTTATCTTAATGATTTCAAGTTAGGATTTGCTCTGCGCTATACACTTTGATTTACTCATTGTCTACCTACAGCGTCTTTTCTTGATTTCCTCTTTCCTTGAAATATGTTTTGTTTTCTGGTATAGTCAGTAATTGCCTATGGTCTTTGGCCAATCGATCTGTGGCCTCTTGTGCTGGTTATAGTAGTTTCCCAACTTTCAACTTTGTACAGTGGAACTGTTCCAACGTTTGTGTTGAGAATTCTAACTTTGATCTTGAGTGATAGTCCAATTGAGTTCCAGATATTCTTCCGTTGCAGTAATGTTGGCCTCGTTTTGTCAATTTTTGCCTTCACATCCTCATCAGATTTCCCTTGTTTACAACTTATGTTTTCCAGATGCGTAAGAGCCATCTCTTCCAGAGCTTCGTTGTCAAGCGCGATTTGGTTCCTGCTTACTATGTTGTATTTCAGGATCTTGCTTTTTACGTTGTGAATGTTGAGACCCATAGCTACAAAGTCTGCTGCTACACTCACTGGCTGTAATCCACAAAGTCTAAACCACCCAGCTGCGTAGCTCAGTAGTTGAGAGTTTGACTTCCATCCATTAAGACTCAGGTTTGAACCTCTCTCCACTCATTGCAATTTGGGCACCTAGGGAGTATCACTAGTCCTCATACTTAATAATACTTCAGGGGTCTTGATACGTACTTGTAAGTGGTCGTGCCTTATAATCAAGATGTTCTGTTCAGTTTCTAAAGATCGCGGCTGACATTCGAATCTCTCGAAAACCAATGTAAAATTGCCTTCCTATAGGGTATATTTATAATTATGTTTGTAAGGCGAATTGAGTAAAGAATACGTTCACAATTAGCAAATAATAAATTCAGGCCTGATCCTTGTATTCAGAAAAGGTATCTTTCAATCCCTTATTCTCACTGTCTAGTTCCATCACCTCTATTTTTTAAAAACACATTTTCTGTGGACGGTTCGATCTGGTTAAAGTCTAAATACTTCATTACAATTACAAATTTTTTAAATGTGTTTTTCATAGCTGTAAATTTATGTCTTTCTTTCCGACATTCCTTAAGTCGTTGTTAACAATCACGAATATCTTTTCAGTTCGTTTCTTAATACGGTAAAATTTTTGTCCCTACTTTAAAATATTTTTCCAAATATACTTAAATGCGTATATATTATTTGTTTGCCCAGATCAATCCTCTTTGGCATCAGAACTAGGTTTTCTACTGATGCTCTGATTGTAAGAAAATAACTGTGAGATTAAGCGAGGGGATAAGAGGAGACTCATCTGTTTTCATTGTTCAAGGTAATCTTTAGAGTATTCGGTTGTTTTATCAATCTCTGTCAGTGTTGTAGCTTGTCCCATATATATATCCTTGTTACATATTTTATTATGTTTTTTTACCGTTCAAATTAGTAGAACGAAAGCAACTTCTGATTTATATTCAGACCCGTTAAATTCATTGTAGTGTTTTGATTTTTCCAGCTGTTAAATCTAACTTTGTTATGTTATTCAGAAATCTTTATCAGTGACGATGACATTAGATTATAATCATATTATTCACCTCAGATTGAATGAAGTTCATCAATTCAGAACTTTGAATCTAGACTTTCTATAGTCTCTTGTGTTTAATACAAGTCCTGAAGTTCCACTGTTCAATTCCGTACATGTATGTTAGTACGGAGGATTGTTGATCCATACTGTGGATGAGACTCAAATTAAGATAAGGTAACTGTTCAGGACTTCTTAGCTTCTATTAAATTTTTCAACAGTCATGTAACTCCTCTGTATCACAGAATCTATCTTCAAAATACTTTAAATATTGGCCTAACATATTGATTGAGTCATGTTGGTAGATGAACATTACTTGGGTAAAGTCCTTGCAATTATCTTAACCAATGTTTAGTGACATATAACATTATAGCTCAGAATTAGCTGCAGTAGCCCCAAATACATTCACTCGTTATCCTTCCCTACATCTTGAGTTTTGGGAAATCATCCTACACCTCTCCATTGTCTCCTCTTATTCATTATTTCTTGAGTCATATTGTCTGCAGTTAGTCCCTAATAATCTTACTACTCCCACTAACATTATTAATATTATTACTAATACTACTCTGGCATTTGTCTTTATTGTTTCATCTTGTCGTAATATGGTATAGCATGTTGAATCGATGGACATATATGCCAGGTTCTATATTGCTTATGACCTACTGACTGAATGAAATGTTATCGATCTAACATTTTTCGTAATTTGTAATTCTTGTCTATTTTATTTGTGAGATTAATTTTTATATTTTTTTTAATGACCCTATCATCGTCATTATTGTTATTAGACTCATTCTTATGCATACTTTTTGTTGCATTGTTTTTTCCCTTTAATATTTGGGTTTTTGTTTTCCTCTCCCCGTCGTCGCCGCAAAACTATAACAGAGTGAACAATTTACTAGAACGTGTTACTTTTATTCATGGTCAGGCGGAATCTGTTGAATTGCCAGTTAAAAAGGTAGGTCATTAATGTATTTTCTTCCTGCATCCCCTCTAAATTATTAAAAAATTATCCTATTTATTTTTTTGGGGGGGAATAAATGAGACTTTCTCTTTAAAAAGTTATTTTATTTATTTAAGCACATAAACATTGGTACGGGGAAACACCAAATATGTATGCGCCAAATAAATCATTCGATTTGTGTGCGGGTTGTGATAGTGCCCAGGTGCCCAAACCGAAGCAGATAGTTTTCCTAAGGGGTCACACCCCGAGCCTTCGACCTAAAGAACTAATCCACAAGGCAGCAGCGCAAGGTCACGAAATGCATTCTCATGGTAGCCGGTAACCAGGAGTAGGTTCATACTGCACTTGTTCCCTCAGGACCCTGGGACCCATGTGCACCATTGGTTTGGAATCAGTTTTCTAACTCCTCAAGATGGTTCCTCCATGTCCACTGACCCGGTTAAAGCGCCGGACATTCTCTTTTCCTCCTCTCAATTCCGTAAACAATACCCCCGCCGCGAGAAGTACGATTATCAAATATTTGGAAGATTGGTCTTGTCTTCTAACACTCCTGATAACACAGAAGAATATGATACCCTCTTGGGCACAGACACAACCATTTGATCAATTTATTTCGAGAATTTTTCATTAACCTTCAGGGAATTCGGGGAAAATAAGTCAGCTCTTGAATAGAATAAAACCATTTAGACGACAATCAGTTATTATGCGTATCGATACGATATGATTGATATCAAGCTAACTTTTTAAGCCGACTTAATTGAATCACTGATCATTGAATCCAGTAAAGATGAAACCGCCTTACTTGCGGCAATCTGATGCTAATTGACCCCCATTATTTCTTTTTTTTTCAACACATATGCAATACCAGAAGAGCTAATTATTCTGCCTTTTATAATAATGTAAACATTAAATATGTACAATTTCTTGCGTATTATTTTCCAATCACCAATCTACTGTCTGAGTGATTTGTGAAATTCGCCTGCAAGCATAATTCGCTCAAGGTACTTCATGTTGAAAAAAATTCGTTTGAAACGACTGCGGAGTTAGATTGTCTGATTTCTGTAATTTCTTGGTGTGTTTTCAACGATTGTGCGAAACGTGTATAAGTGTATTATCATAAATATGAAGTATTTTGAACAGACTAACGTTAATAAACTGTACAATACGTAAACTAAGGTTTTTCTAACCTCAGTACACTTATTTATTGATTTGATATGAGTTGACACAATTGTGGAATGTCGAAAAAAATTGACAGTTGTTTGGTCATTCTTTTTCATTTAGTAATCCTTCAGTAGTCTTTATACCCTTGTATTTCAGTTACTTTCGTATTTGTTTCAGCTAATAACGATTTCTCATAATGAATTTGATTTATTCATCTATTCAGCATTGACGAAACTAGTGGGTTTATGGAGATGGTTTGATTTTATAGTTGACACTGTAGATTAAACTTAGTTTGTCCTGACTTCGATTCTTTTAGGGAGTGATTGTTAGTGCCTGCTTTTGGAGAGTTCTATACCGTGACAAAAGAGTTGTTTAGTGCTTCCGATTTCGCAATGGTTTGACTAATTAAAAACTAGTTCGTGATGTAAACTATAAAATTAACAAGGTAGGTTTATGTTCAGTTCGCTCATTTATTTACATATTTACATATTTATTGCAGGTCGATGTAATCATCTCTGAATGGATGGGATATTTTTTGTTTTTCGAATCAATGCTTGATTCTGTCTTAAAAATGGCATCAAAATATTTATCCCGTGATGGACATATTTTCCCACGTCATTATACATTAAATTTATTAGGTGTACAATGTTCCGAACATTTACGTAAACGTCGTTTAGAACATTGGAACGATGTATACGGGTATAAAATGCCAGCATTACGTCGTGCTGCATTAAGTGAAGCACATGTATTAAATTTAACAAATGAACATGTTACACCGCCAATATCCCCTGTTACTATATTAACACAATCATTTGAACTGGTTGCACTGGATTTAGACGATATGCATCGTAATCGTATTTATAATTTATCAAATCATTGTTCACTTTTATGTGAACAAAAATTTCATTTAATTATACAACCCACAACTACTACTAATAATAACAATAGTAGTAGTAGTTATAAATTAGACGCCATTGTTGGCTATTTCAATGTACGTTTTGATGATGACGCCGATTGTAAGGTAAGCAGAAAGATTTGTTATCAATTTTATTCTCATAGATTTCATATCATAAACTGCTCCTTGCTAGACTACCACCATTGAAAACCTGGAAGTATTGAACGACCGTTTCGTGTTAATTGGAGACCATTTAGCAGTATTCATTCACAACCATACCTCTAGGAATCAAGCCCAGGATTTTCTATCTTGTATACGGAGGTTTTACTTCTATTCCACTGAGCCGGCATTCAATAGTGATAATGTCTAGCTTCAATCCATGATAGGGCTAAACGGCCATTTAGTACTTCCAAGTTTTCAAAGATGGCGTAACCAAAGATCAGTTCATCATATAAAGTCTGCCGAAATTGTATGATCTTCACAGAACCCTACCCTGGTAATTTCATTGTCAATTTAGATCAAAGTGAATATTCATATTCCAACATTTGATAATAAGATTAATTGAGTAAAGAACCCTTTTTCTAGCTAATTGTTTCCCACAGCACTGCCGGTGAAATAATAACACGAAGGTCAAGAACGGAGAGCTGTACAGAAAACGTTTACTGCAGACAGACTGAATACATTTTTTTGTACAATCGTCTGATAATTAGAGCTGACCAATTGAGACGAACTATCTGGTTTTGCCAAATTCATATGTTTATTAGTTATTCGACTGCTCCTTTGGAGCCGAAGCGAAATATGGTAAACCAAAGAGACCGGTTAAGGACAAAGAAGACCAGACAATCACTGAAATTCTAGAACAGCGGAACAGATGAGTAGAACACATTCAGGAACTCTTGAATAGACCATCTCTATTTAATCTATTAGTCATCGAGCCAGCACCTACAAACATATTTATAGTTGTCGCTCTACCAACGATCGAAGAGATAATGATGGCTATCAGACAAATGAAGAGTTGAGAAGACAGCAGGACCTGACAATAAACCAGCTGAAGCACTGAAGTCCGGCATAGAGGTAACTGCAAATATGCTCCACATTCTATTCTGGAAGATTTGGAAGAAGGAACAGGCATCTACAGACCGGACACAAGGGTTGCCCAAGACAGAGTTCGATGGAGAATCATGGTGATTCAGTTCTCTTCCATCTATGGCGCGGTTATGTTTATATTGTAATTTAATTCTGTTAATACATAGTCAGAATTTTGTCCTAGATTATTGTATGTGTACTTATTTTCGTCCGTTGCCCATCGTGGAGTAGCGATTGGTTTCTCACTAAGATTCTACATCGAACTCTGCCCTGGACAATGAAATAGGAAAATCAGTTTTTCACTAACTCATTCATAAATTTAATCTTTGTACTCCGAAGAAGTTTGTATAATCGCTTTCTCTCCCCCCTCTCTCTCTCTCTCCACTTTGGACACCGATTTAGGAGTGGATTATATCTGAACTATGATTAACTCTTGTTTTTTTCATAAACACTTGCATGAATTTCTAATTTTCTTTACTTTTAACGTTTCGACATATTCTCTACATACATCTCTTAATTCTTATATAACTATTTATAAAAATGAAGTTTGTGCTGATGATGTCGTTCAGAAGAACAATGAAAGCTCCACGACTAAACCATCCAGCTCAAAGAACAAAAGTCCACCAAAATCATCCACATCAGCTACGAATCTTCTCCATCATCTCAAAATGAATTTTTTTAATCAAAATATTTGGTTAATTCTTTTATTAAATATTATGCAATCTAAGAACTGTTTAATTACATGTTTTTTAGTTTTTGGTAAATACTTATTTTGTTTATTATAATTAATACATTCTCCTGCATCTTTTAATCACTGTGTTAATCATTCAATATTGTTTTTAGAATGTACATGATTATTATAATAAAAAATTTATTGATAATTGAATCCTGATGAATATCATAACATATCAGGTATATCTTAATGAGATGATTGCCAAATAACACTAAACTTGTAAGAAAGCTGATGGTGGTCAAACCAAGACATGGCGTCAAATCATTGGGTAATTGACTGTTTATTCGAACTGCGCTGGTGGGTGCAGTCACCGGCTTGTGGTCCGTACGATAATTACTATAACTAGTTATGGGAGACGTTGGTTGATGTGGCTCAAGATCAGTCATAATTCCGGAAATGTGTTAATTTCTTGTGTTCCTCTAACTCATAAGTTCCAGTATTCATACATACATATTCATTGTGTTTTTTTTTAGAGCCATATTCTATTTATTTATCCTTGCTCAATATTAACACTACTGAAACCATTTTGACTCTTGGTATTCATGCTTTTATTGTGTTAGGCGGTCGTTTGACTCTGATACTGATAACACGTTCCAGATGCTCGAATTAAATCAGCTACGTAAGTAAGAAGACGAGGAACAAATAGGATGTCTTATTGGAAAACCTGGATCGAACTATGAATGCAAACTCATTTATAAATCTCAATATAAGTCATCCGAACAATTGAACCAGATTTCGGCCAATAGCATGTATCCATGTTCCTCGGATGATCAGGGCAAACCTCGACCAATATCGTGCACCTGTCAACATTTCTCACCTATCATTTAATGTTGAATTGATATATCATATTGGCCCAGCTTGTCAGTTGCTAACTTCCCCTCATTGTGCTTACCTATTGTGGGAGCTCGTGCCAAGGCACATTTGTGCCAAGTTCTACGTTAATTATGGCTGATTGAGTAATTGTGATCTCCCCTTAGTAATCTATTATGTTTTGTTTAAAAGAAATCTTCCGTGACGTAATTACTATTTTTATCCTCATTATTTTCCTCCATAGGTTGAATTTTCAACATCCCCAACTACTCCTTTAACACATTGGAAGCAAACGTTACTATTTTTAGATAAGCCGATTTCTGTAAAACCAGGTAAATCAGAATACACAAAACAACAGTGGGCAATATTTTTTTCTATTATTCTAATTCCATCGTTTTTTCTTGATAATTAAATTGTTTAAAATCCAACTGGCTTGGTCGATCATCATCACTGTAACAAATATGAGTTTTATTCGTGTTGTCTTCATAACTAAATCACTCTTTATAAGCAAAGATGGATAGTGTCTAGCAATGGAATCCAGGACGCGCGTTTCGGCCTATTTGGGACTCGTCAGCTGGATGTGCCTGCATCTCAGAGTTGATGTTCACTCCAGGACTCGAATCCAGTGCCATTCGCTTCAAATGCCATCGCCTTATCCATTTAGCTGCTGAGCTTACGACTTAAGGCTATATCGAGGCAATCCGCACATTGTGCACACATGCCAATAGCAGACTGATCAATTGCAGTCTAAAACCTCATTGGTAAGGTACAAGCAAAACAATATCAAGTGAATTTAAATCACTCTTTGTTATGGTGTAGCTTAATGTGATGGTTATAACTTTCATTCATTCCCAATCATTTGGTATCTGTTATAACTTGTGACCGCCAATTAGACAGCGGTGAGTTATCGATCAGACCAAGGACGCGTAAAACACGTGCGAGCAGCCTAGAGTCCTGATTGGTCCTACTCCCTGCCTAGCCCAGCCAGTTAAGTCCAGAACACCAATCCGAGCCTCTGTGATATGAATCATTATATTTCAAACATACTGAGTTTATATACCAATCAAACAGACCACAACCTACCAATAAAATCTGAAACAACATTTGTACAAGAATTAGCCAAATGTGGCTGTGAATGAGGGAGGTAGTAATTAATATACTGGGTATAACTCAAGAATGGTAAAACGTATAATAATAGTTTATGGGTTTGAATTCCACCGTCTCAATGTTACTTGATTTAGAACTTTCACAGTGTTGTCACCAGACATCGCAAACAAGTGTATCTCACTGTATCAATTAAATCTCTACTTCATAGATCAGATAGTTAATGAATTTCTTCTAACATTGTAATACATATTGTTTAACCTTTTTTTCCTTTCATTATTTCACTTTAATCTTCCAGTTTATTATTATTATCATTATTATTATTATTAGGCGATAAAATCTCTGGCATAATAACTATTCGTCGTGCAACTACCGATAATCGTGGCTTAGAAATCAATCTATTAATTGGTGAAACAGAAAATTCACCTGAAATCAAACAAACGTTTGATTTAATCGGTTAAATTATCAAAGCCTACACTGATTAAGTGAAGAACAATAAGAAAAAGAAGAAGAAGAAGTTAACATGTATAAAAAGTAATTTGATCAAAGTGGACAATAAGTAAATAACCTTAGGTATTTACTTTTTTTTAAATAAAAAGAGATACGATTAACCTACATTTGCATACGAGAGAAAAAACAACAATAAATACAGCCCACCCCCCATTCACCCAAAATGTGTTACATGACATTTTTGTAATTCAGTATATTCATTTGAATAAAGCTTATTTATTGTCACCTAGGCTTCTGTTTTTTGTTGTTGTTGGTATGTTTCATTAAAAATCTATTGGGATTGTGTAATGTTCATTGTATTTATTTGTTGTCATGATTTGATGTTTTTGTCTATATTTGTGCTTTTATACTTGAATTCTATTCAGCTTATGAGAATAAAGTTGTTTTTTTTTGTAACAACTCATTTATCGGGTTCAGATTTGTGTACACTAGGCTTTGAGCTATGTGATGGTGAGTAGCTACTACCAATTATCTGAGTCAAAGTAGATGAATAGAGGTTTGAATCTGCGACTTCATGATTTAAAATCGAACATATTAATTTTAAATTAGTGTATTCACCAGGCATTATGATGTTGAGCCAAACTCAACGTGAGAGGGCTAATGATAGTACCTGGTTGCCCAAAGCAATGTGAGTGGATTGAATTTCAAACTTGTTATAGAGTGATCAAAATCCGGACGATTTGATCGCTAAGCCATAGCTGTACATCGTAACCATTAATTCACTATTCTATGATATGAATACTCTTGTCAAAGAGATTGATTTTTATTGAAAGACGATCATAAAAAACTAACGATCAGTGAAAATTGCTAGATAGAGACATTTTTGTACAACATCGTTAATCAATTGATTTCGTGTATTAGATCGCATATGGATTAAGACGCTAACATATTTCTTTACATTTTAGAGTTCGCATGATACCTTTCCGTTACTCAATAAGTCTAAATTTAACAATAATAGCAGCACACGTTTTACAACTTTAGTCAAATTGTTCATCCACTATTCATAGAGTTAAATGAGTCCTTGTGTCTACCCCAAAAGATCCTGTTTGTGAATGACCTCAAGTAGTCGTCCTTCGCACTGTTGTCACTCTCAAGTTGTGAAGACCACTGCTAATCCAGTTCCTTTAAATATGGCTCACGTCACATAATATTTATTTAGACTACTTAGACGATACATTATTCCAAAGTTCCACCTGAGATTACAGTTAATCATATGAGCATCGAAGGAAAATATTCCTCTTAGGATAAATTCTATAGCACCTGTATAAACCAGTTTACATCTAATTGTTGATGGAAAGTTTGTTACCCAGTAAAGTTTTGTGCTTGGTGACTGTTGGACAACGATTGAGCTGAGGTGTGTCGTGTCATAAAAATGTATGCTCTTACTTTCAGCATTCACTTACTAAATGAAAGAACACATGCTACATATTGTATACATATTACCTATTGAAAGAAATATGCCATTCAAATTCACGGACACATCCTATGATTGGTTATGTGCTCACTAGTGACTAACATCGAGAGGAAATTTTGGGAGTTCTATTAGGCAGCCGTGTCGAATGGAGTTCAAGTGTGTCGAACGTAACGATGCTACCGACCAAAGACAATGGAAGATGATCGCTCAATATTGAGTATTGTTTGTAGTTAGACATGTACACCGTTAAATGCTGGCTTAGAGGTTTAGAGTGCAAGCTTTCTAGCGTGAAACTGTAGGTTCTGTGTTCCATCCTCAGTGACGGAGTCACGGATGTACACTTCTGGGCAGTCCCTTACTAAAAAGACTCAGCTACTTGCTTCCAGTGATTGTCCAAATTAGATCGGTTCGTTATCTCAACAAAATGTATTCATTGTTTTGTGGCTATATGAAGCAAAACATATTCTCTATATAAATATACGAAGTACTAAATGTTATTAAAATTACACTTATTTTATTTGGTAGGGATTTTCCGAGTTAAGTTTCTTCATTATTCATAGATAGAGTTCGTTTAATATATTTTTTTATTTTGTCACATCGAGCTAGTTAAACTGGGGTCCAGTTAGCAACCTAATCGATTGAAGTTGATCATCAGTACAAAAGGAATACACACACATGACATTGGTCACTACTACTCAATTAAAAAACGATTGTAAGTACATCTCTGTCTTATGGAACGCTGATTGTTGTCACATAGTTCAGTGGTAACGACTTAGGTCGTGAAATTAAGTGACTGAGATTCAAATCCATCAAGGGTCATCGGTCTCTCGAAAATTAAAGATAAATATCTTGCTGACGAGTACTAACTAACATGAAGGTTTAATCATGCAGGGGTTTCATGTCAAATATTTCCAACCATCTAACCTATTGAAAAGATTTAGTTCAATGTTGATTGTCGCATTGGTTCGCTGCAGTTGAGATAGCTCACTGTAACCAAGCACATATTAAGTATAAAACATACATATTTTCTTTCATTTGACAAAACAATCCTGCGTTCCAAAGTTACTTTTTCTAAATCTATTTAATGAGCCTTAGTTTCTCGGTATTTTCACTTTAATACTGTGCTACAGGATAGAAATTCAATTTTGTGTGCATATATATTTAACGTACATCCTCATGCATACACATACACCAAAAATACCAGAAAATTTTCTGAACCGTAATATGATATCTCTATTGTTGTCTATTCAAGTGTTTGTGTGGGTTTTTCTAATGTCAAGAGTTTTCAAATATGAACCATTGTTTATTATTCATTAGTCATTGTGTAAAACAGTCATATTCTCATGAGAAGTCAAGAATTGATTGTTCTCACCAAACATGTGGTTCAGTTTGAATAAGTGAATCTAGTAAATTATTAGACCTCACAGGCATAAAACAATGCGTATAACCTGGTACATATATGTGCATCCGTTCAAGTTACGGCTATATTATCAGTAAAGGGAGATGAAATTATCAAGACAAATGTTAGAGTATTAAGAGTAGTAACAATATCAATGACAGAAAATATTAGGCACAGATAATATGAGTGGAAAAGGAATAATAAATTCATAGAATAAAATAAAAAGTAGATGATTTTAAAACTCAAGATCAAAAAGGGTAAACGAATCTACACCATTGTGATCGTTTCTGAGCTATTTCATCAAACGTCTCCAACTATTGGTTATGAAAATTGCGAAGATCTCAACTGGGTAATTTTCATCCGCTTACACAACGCAGTTCAACAGTCAATATGAATTCATGGACTAATGTCACTTGGTTTGATTGTTCCTAATCTGAATTGCTAAACCGATTTTTAATGTCAGTTATGTATAGAGAGATAAATAGTGAGAGTGCAATGTAGACCTCTTGATTGAATCGAGATTATAGACGATATTGTAAGTGGTCAAGTAATTTGGCGCAGATTCATTAATTCTTATTTGTATCTGATGAACGTTTTGTAAATTCGTATACTCTAAAAAAATGTGCATTTTATATGTGCTCAATCTCAATGCGGTTTCGAATGTATCTTTCTACCTGTTAATACAATTATGTAAAATAAACGTAACTCCAGTTTTTTCTAATACTTTGAAACATCGTATAAACGACTGCTAAACAGCTGATTTTGTCTTTATTTAGGATTTATCAATAATACACACGAACCCCCCAGGAATTAAACTCATTATTTTTGGGTTTCGTGGTGAAAATGCCACCTTCCTACTACTGAGTCAAAATGGTTCATATTTCCAATATCAATTATTTTTAAATACAATTCTAAGATAATTATGTTTTAATTGGTGAGAATAGATTCTCGTGTTGACAAGGCGGAGCGGTGACTTAGTGATTGATGCGCTCAACTTTAAACCCTGAGTCCCGCTTCACCCACTTTGCTTTGGGCAGTCGGATAGTATCACAACCCTTACACAAAATGTGTCTCACATGAGTGAGAAATCATAACTGATGGAATTCAATCGTTTTAAGACTAAGAAATGTACAATCACTTATCTAAATTGTATAAAAGATTTATGTGAATTGTTAAATACGAAATTATTTTTCATCATGAACTGATTAATTATTGTCTGTTTTGAGTAAATATCGCTATTATTATCGTTACTGTTATGGTTTTTAGGATTTCAGTCGTTTCGCTCAGCCTGATTTCAACCATGTACACTGGATAAATGAAACATTGAAATCATGTACTTCTGATCTTAATCAGTTAGATGTAAGTTCTAGTTAACTAATAGGTTGTTTATTTTTTGTCCATTTTTGTGTATATGTTGTTATAATAGAATTATATATTAATTGATTAAACACCTAATCTATTGAAAGATCAAAATACATTCTATATATTACTCTTAGTACTGTGATCATAAAGAGTTTGGTCAACAAAATTCAGTGTGCAACAATTATATCACATTTTGAATGAGCTTCATTTATGGTGATCAAACTGCTTAATTTACTCGTCAGTTTTGATTTTATCTCATCTTCCATCAATCTTGGAGTCTTCACAATTCTCACAGTAGTGCTTGGTCTATCTAAGTATATTATCTATTTCCCTCCAATGAATTGTGTTCATAGATGATCTTTAATATTTTATAGATTCAATGAAAGTTCTCAATTCTTTTCAAGAATAAATGTTGAGTATTTACTTTTGCTTGATTTATTCACTAATGCTTTCTCTATCGACATGAACAGAAAATGTCACCTCAAGACCCCTTTTTTAGACGGTCTCTTAGAGTTTGCGTTAATTATCAAAATCATCACAGGGACTGAAAACAAATATATTCAAGTGGATATTTATACATATATGTTCTTGGGTAATTGAAGGGAGGTAGTTGGTAGAAAACCTCGAACCTAGGTTTCTCATTATTTGGAATGATATTGGACGCAGTATTAACTCACACTAAAGACCATATTACAACTTGATCTACAGAATTCAATTAACCCTATAAAAAACTAGCGAAATTTAAGTGCAATCACTTTTAAATGATCAATTAAAATCAATATCTCAGTCATATAGGATGTCGGTTACTACCTGAATAGCTCAGTGTTAAGATCGATCCTGTTAACCTCCGTGGAGCCTAGGCTGCTGATCAGGATTCTTCTACCTACTCTATCATGGGCTCTCCCTTCCAGGTCTTGACAAGTGCTATTCATTCTCTTGACGTCTGTCTTCAATTCCCGAAGTAATGTGTTCTTTGACAGTTGTTTTGAATTCCATATGTTCTTAAGTTTTAAGAATTGTGCCTTTGCCTTCTCAATCCGTTTCTTCACA